CACTTCAGCCTGGGTGACAGAGCAAAATTCTGTCTAAAATAAATAAATAAATAAAGATGTTTAAAGGAAAAATGAGAAGGATAACTGTTTTGAGATAATTATCCTTGGCTACAAAGATCAATAACAAAAGTTACGTCAGTCCAAAGTCAGACAGGCAGTTGCTGGGTAGATGTCCTTGTAGAAGTATTTTTTGTGTACAGTTGGGATGGCCCTCACGTGACATTTTGGGTTTTGCAGAGTGATAGTTTTTCTTATTAGGCGCACAAATGTGAGAACCCAGCTCTTTCTGCCTGACTTTTTTTTTTTTGAGACAGAGTCTTGCCCTGTTGCCAGGTGCCAGACTGGAGTGCAGTGGCGGGATCTCAGCTCACTGCAACCTCTGCCTCCCGGGTTCAAGCAATTCTCCTGCCTCAGCCTCCCGAGTAGCTGGGACCACAGGCGCATGCCACCACGCCCAGCTAATTTTTGTATATTTTAGTAGAGACAGGGGTTTCACCATGGTCTCGATCTCTTGACCTCATGATCTGCCCACCTCAGCCTCCCAAAGTGCTGGAATTACAGGCGTGAACCACCATGCCCGGCCCGTGCCTGAGTATTTTTTTTTTAAAACACTAGTGACTCCATTTTGATTTTGACAACTTCCATACTTCTTCCTCTAAACTTTGTCAAGTTTGCAGACACCAAAATGAAATCACTTTTGTCAGACACAGACAAAGTGGGGCCAGGAAGGTTGAAAGGAGAGGAGGCCTATGCTTACATGTCTAAGGATTGTTGCCAAGGACATTCAAAAAGCTCTTTTGTGTCTTTCAAGCATCTCCTGATTTGATAAGGTTTAACACTAGACATTTTTTTAGGACTGTGAGAATTCAGGTAAGACGTTCTCAGAACACTTATCCAGTAAGGCATCACCACCAATGAACTGACAACTCTGGCTTTAAGCCTCTGGAAACAATGATCTGTTTCCAAGCAGTTTATGTAAATGTCTTTTTTGTTAATAAAAGCTCCCCTTTCCTCACTGAGCGCACTGGAGACTTGCCATTACATGCATTCTGGATTATAATCCTTCTATCTATTCCCAAGTAAACCCAACATGTTTAAAGATAATTTTCTCTCTTTTTTTTTTTTCGAGACAAGGTCTCATTCTGTCATCGAGGCTGGAGTGCAGTGGTGATGAGACGGGATAGTTCCCTTGACTCCCTTAGAGGATGGGAACTGGAGTGGCTGGTTTCACACAGCCCACCGCTGGACACTGCTCAAGGGTGGGAGCGAGTGCGGGAACCGGGGTGAGCCACCGCTGGAACCGGCCAGTTGCTCCTCTCTGTCGGGAGCAGGCTCTATATGAGCCCCGCAGCAGCGTCCAAGAATATTACAACCAATGCTCTTTCCGCTCTTCCGTCCAGGGATGGTCAAGTGTCAGCCAGCTCAGTGGAGGGTCAGGGTGGCAGCCCCTGTACTCTCAGGGGCTTCCTGGTTCTTGTCTGGCGTCCAGGAAGAATCAGGTCACACGAACGGTTTGAAAGGTGATGAATGCAGAAGACTTTATTGAGCGGTGGACGGCTCTCAGCGGGAAGGGAGGCTGAAAAGGGGATGGGAAGGTGATCTTTCCCTGAAGCCCACCTATCTCTGGCTGGGCCCCTCTCTGAAACTGCACGTCTGAAGTTAGCCGCATCTATCCGTATTCTCCGACACTCAGTTGTTTCTCTGCTTGCCACTTAGACGCTTGTGTTTCCAACGCTCAGCCGCTTGTGTTGCTTTGCTAGCTGAAGTCTTTATGGGAACAGGATAGGGGTAGGGCAGGCCAAAAATGAAACGTTTGGGCAGAAAAATGGGGTCAGCTGTTTTCACTTAGAGCCGTGGTTCCGGGCTTAAGGATGGGGTTTAGCTGGGAGCCCAGCCCTTCCGTAGCAGTGTGATCCTAGTTCATGGCAGCCTTGACTTCCTCAGGGTCAAGCGATCCTTCCACCTGGGCCTCGAGTAGCTGGGACTACAGGCACACTCCACCAGGCCCAATTAATTTTTAAATTCCCTGTAGAGTGGGGATCTTGCTTGGCAGCCAGACTGGTCTCTGATTCCCGGCCTCAAGTGATCTTCCTGCTTCAGCCCCCTAGAGTGCTGGGATTACAGGTGTGAGAAACCAAGCCTAGCCTCTAGTGTCTTTTTTTTTAGGTTGGCAATTTACATTGTCCAATAGTCACTCACGTAATTTTAAATTTTCTAGTAGCCATATTTTATTTTATATTTTTTAGCAGGATGTTTAGACATAATGTAGCCACATTTTTAAAAGTAAAAAGAAACATCAACAATCAATCTTATTGATGTTTTTATTTAACTGTATATAAAAATTATCATTTCAATAAGAAATATAACATTATTGAGAGACTTTAATATTTTTGTATTAAGTTTTTGTAATTCAGTGTGTATTCTAAACTATGGCATGACTCAATTTGGACTAGCAGCATTTTAAGTGCTCAGTAGCAATGTGGTAGGTGGTCATCATTTTGTGCAGTACAGGTATAGACTCTCGCATCCAGATCCCCTTGCTGGACAATCTTATCTGTGTCAAAGTTCCAATTCTCATCTATTAGCTGATGACTCACATTTTTATATCTTCTCCAACTATTCTTTTGATCTCCAGTTCCTTACAGTTATTCGCTTTCTTCACATCTCCACTTTAATGCCCCAAGACACCTCAGACTCAGCATGTCTCACATCTAGCTCATAATCTTCCCTTTCAAATCTGACATGGTTTTTCTATCACTGTTCTTTACATTACATCACCAGTCAATCCAATTTCACCAGCATACAACTATGGGACTTCCTTGATATCTTCTTCTTCCTCAAATCACCAAGTCTTGCCTATTTTATCTCCCACGTATCTCTTAAATTTATTTATTTTTTGGTCACATGCATCATCACTCCCTTTCAAGCCACTGTAATCTATTGACTTTAATAGCCTCTAAGCTGATCTCCCTGCTTTCATTCTGGCCACCCTCAGCTCTACTCTGTACACTGCAGCCATGGTGATATTTTCAAAATCTAATCACATTAATTGCAAATCTCATCAGTTTAGCTGTCTCCTCACCATTAAAATACTTAAGGGACCTGGGCACAGTGGCTCAAGCCTATAATCCCAGGACTTTGGGAGGCTGAGGCGGGTGGATCACCTGAGTCAGGAGTTCGAGACCAACATGGTGAAACCCCATCTCTACTAAAAATACAAAATTTAGCTGGGCGTGGTGATGTGTGCCTGTAGTCCCAGCTACTTGGGAGGCTGAGGCGGGGGAATTGTTTGAATCTGGGAGGTGTAGGTTGCAGTAAACTGAGATCAGCCTGGGCAACAGAGCAAGACTGCATCTCAGAAAAAATAAAAAGTAAAAATAAATACTTAAGGGAGGCAGGTGGATCACTTGAGGTCAGGAATTTGAGACCAGCCTGACCAATATGGTGAAACCTTGTCTCTACCAAAAAAATACAAAAATTAGCTGGGTGTGGTGGCATGTGCCTGTAGTCCTAGCTACTTGGGAGACTGAGGCAGGAGAATTGCTTGAACCTGGGAAGCAGAGGTTGCGGGGAGCTGAAATTGTGCCACTGCACTCCAACCTGGGTGATAGAGTGAGACTCCATCTCAAAACAAACAAACATCTTTGTTTTTACTCTCTAAATGTTGCCAAATCTAGGTTTATACTAGGCATTAAACACATGGATGAATGAGTGAATGAGTGACTATGTCAGCCAAGCAAAAGCAGGTCAGACAAAAGTAACAGTGAGTTTGACATGCTCCAAGGTCAGAAAGAGCTCTGAGAGCTGGAGATATAATAATGAGAGAGTGGAGACACTGGAGAAGTGTCTGGATCTTGCTGAGACACTGGACACATGGCTGGATCTTGCTGGGCATTTTAAAGGACCTGGACACATGGAAGCTACCTCTATTTTTTTGGTATTATGTTTGCTTTACCAACTTTTTTATTGCTAGCCATCAACTAGGGAAAACAATTTAAAACCTAAATCGGGGTAGGTTTAGAGAGATAAATAAAGATATGTAAAGGAATAACAGAAGCAGTTTTTAGTACTGTTGAATAAGTGCTGCCTGAATCTTTAAGACAGAGGATGTATATTTATGCAGCTGCGGTCAGAGCCTGTGTGAGGTTCACTATAAATCCACTGGCAAGAAGGCCCTTAAAGACATTTTGATGGCCATGAAGCTTGGTGCCTAGTTTAAAACTAGTGATAACACCTAAACTTTCTAGGTGGACAAAGCCATATTCAGGAGAAATTGGAGTTGGTGCAGGCAGCCAATCACAATCCACTTACTCTAGAAACCAAATCTCAAACTGCGGTATGAACCTGAGGCTCAAAACATAAGAGGTAAAGAAACGGGCAAAATTTAATTAGTTTCTGGTGAAACGTCCTAAATCCAAAAGAACGGTGACCGAAAATAGAGAAAACGGAGTGTGATCTTTTGCATTAATGAGAGAGACCGTGTCCCCGTGTGTCAGAACCTGTCATTCTTGTCCTGAGTTGGAAAGTGAGCGGAGTGTGAGGGGATCCCATCTTGAACTGTCCGGGGTTGAGTAGTTAAAATAACACGGAACTCCAGCTTCCAAAATTCTCTCCAGGGCCTAGACAGCCTCGCGGAGAGCTGTGATTGTGAATACTAACGCAGATTTGATTAAATCTTTTAGATTTAAAAGATATGTGGAGTCATGACAGTAGAAATGTGTACAAGTGAACATATATATTTCTTAGCCCGTTTCCCCGCTGCCTGTGCGATTTATAGAAACGCAAATATAAAACATTTCCGTTCAAGCAGAGACGCCCCTTGCTCTCGCGGATTGCCCCTCTCTACAGGCATCTCTAGCTGACTCTAGAGCTCAAGCTCCCCTTTAGACTTCACCCTGCGCGGGCGGATTTCCACCAGAAATGTCTGAGGCACGAGACGAAGCAGCACTCGGGTCTGGCCCCAGCCGACTGCAGTCAGGCGGGGCTTCAATCCAACACCCTCAGCCGAGTCCTCCGCCGTCCCAGCATTCCCTGAGTTCCTACCATCGAGAGCAGCTTCCGGCGTGGCTGGTGTAGGCGGGTGAAGAAGGAGCGGGCCCTCGCCACTCTGTCTCATTCCCTCGCGCTCTCTCGGGCAACATGGCGGGTGTGGAGGAGGCAGAGGCCTCCGGGAGCCACCTGAATGGCGACCTGGATCCAGACGATAGGGAAGAGGGAGCTACCTCTACGGCTGAGGAAGCAGCCAAGAAAAAAAGACGGAAGAAGAAGAAGAGCAAAGGGGCTGGTGCAGGTAAAGGGAGTTTTATGTTTTCCCAGTGTCCGCCAGGAACGGCTGAACGGTTTGACTCAGGCCGGGCGAAGGGGGCCGGGACCGGGGCTCGGGAGCTCCAGACTAGACTAGTACTTAGGCCCGACAGGTTGGCAAAGCCGGGCTATAGATTCCTAGTCCCGAGACGAGGCGTCATTTTCTCCTATGGGACCAGAGTGCTTGTGGGGGAGAAAAGAGTGCCTGAGGTTGGTGTGTGGCACCTCTGGGGTCGCTGGGCCGGAGCCCCTGTGTTACTAGAACTCAGCTCCCACGCACATCGTGGCACGATCTTGAGCTCGTGCACAGAGCACAGCCTTACCATCTTCTGCGCGGTTTGGCCGCCGTCTCAAAAATCCGATTCTGACCCATACTGCCGCGTCTTTGCTGGTTTGCTGGAGCAAGCTAGGACATATTTTCTTTGAGGGTGGGGGTGGGGTGGTCAGATGTGATGGAGAGCACATCACCCCCCAACATCCCGGTTCACGTTGGGGTTGTTGCAGCCTGCAGTTTTGGGGTGTGTGTACGTGTGTGTGCCCGCGCGCTCACGTCATTAATTACAGAATTTGTGGTGGTGATACGAATTTTCACCCGCCTAATCCCACAGCATCGCCGAGCTTTAGAGCCTTTAGACCTGAATTATAATGCCACTCGCAGGTAGTGCAGATAGGATATTCTGTGGCTCAGAACGGAACTTCTCAGGCCTTAACCTTTGAATCCACTGGTAAGGCAAGGAGAACTGCCGAAAGTTGGATATTGTGAGCTGGGAACCTACGTGTTTTGAGAAGTCTGTGGTTTTGCTGCCCAAGCTCCTTCACCTTGAGAAAAATTATTTTTACTTGTTTCTAATTAAAATCGCCAGAGAAACAGAAAAACGGAGAAGTCAAAAGCGATTAAGATGGAATTGAGAGAGGTCGAAGAGAGCTAATATTCATCTTTCTGAAATTTTGATTAGATGGGAATGGAAGGAGAGTTGTAGAGTTGCTGGAACTCTTCCAGAGCAAAATTTAATCCCAGGAAATACTCTGGTGGCTGTTCCTGGATTTCGAGTGAAATCGAAACACTGCTGTTTGTCTTGTAAGGTGTTCAGCTGACTGATCCTAATGAAGTTTTAATAGTTGTATTTCTTAATATGAATTCTCTCCAGTAGCCAGAATGTCACTTCATATCATGCTACCTGATACTATTAATACATGTAACATATTGCTCCTATAGGTAGGCTATAATCACTTCCAGAGCAGGGGCCTGGTTTTGTGCTTAGATGTTCGAGCATTTTGCTTTTTTAGTAATGGTCTATCTTTGCCTATTTATTTTGACTTTACCCAGCCCATCATATCTTCATGAAACCAGGCTGCCCTGGGGTGTGGCACATGATTCTTCCTAAGGCCTTCAGCATTTATTACCTATCTGGTAATTTTAAGAAGTTGTTGAGTCTAGTTGCTGACTACTATTAAAAGTTAAACTACTTGAGGATAGAGACCAGTTTACACTTTTGTTTATCTTTTAGCTGCTAGTGTGTGTAATGGATATTTCATTGAGTAAATTAATGAATGGGCAGTACTGTGTAGTATGGAAGATTCTTCTGTCATTAAACAAATTTTGTTGTGTTGATAATAATGTTTCTGTTTTTGTTTCCTGAGGAAAGGATTTGTAAGTTTTCCAAGATCATTAGAGCATATTCTAGTGGGAAAATGTCTGTATTAGATTTAATTTCTGCTATTTTATTTTGATCAGCAGGGCAACAGGAACCTGATAAAGAATCAGGAGCCTCAGTGGATGAAGCAGCAAGACAGTTGGAAAGACAAGCATTGGAGGATAAAGAAAGAGATGAAGATGATGAAGGTAAATGGTTAATTTGATCTTTGTCATTAGAAAAGCTAGAAAATGTGACGGTCCTTAATCAAAATTTATTTACCCATATAGTCTTTTTTTTCTGACATTTTGCTTGTTAGAGCCTCAGTGTCACAGATTAAAAAGGAAAAGGCATTTATTAGCTAGTCTTGAAAAAGTTCAGTATGTTCATTAGCTGTTCAGATAGTACACATCTCAAGTTTTAAAAATATACTTGGTAGCAGGCAAAGTAGTGAGTATTAAGATTGAGAGGTTGTTTATTTAACTAATACTTTCACATGTATTCACATTTAAACCTCAAAAAACCAAGCAAAGTAATCTACTTGTGCTTAGATACTAAAGAATTTTGTTTTTTAGTAATGGACTGTCTTTTCCTATTGGTTTTGACTTTACCCAGCCCCTCATGGCTTTACCTAGCCATCTCATTTTATAGGTAGGGAAGTGGTAGTTATGTGATTTACCCAAAGTGACACAGCTGGTATGCGTAGAATGGAGCCAGAATTTCAAATCTAGTGCTTGATTGCAAGGTTGTTCCTTTTACTCTCTTTTTTTTTTGAGACCAAGTCTTACTCTAACACACAGGCTGGAGTGCAGTGGTGTGATCTTGGCTCACTGCCACCTCTGTCTCCTGGGCTCAAGCGATTCTCCTGCCTCAGCCTCCCAAGTAGCTGGGATTACAGGTGCCTACCACATGCCTAGCTAATTTTTTTGTATCTTTAATAGAAACAGAGATTCACCATGTTGGCCAGGTTGGTTTCGAACTCCTAATCTCAAGTCATCTGCCCTCCTCAGCCTCCCAGATTGCTGGTATTACAGGCTTGAGCAACCATCTCCGGCCTGTTCCTTTTACTCTCTGTTCCAAAACTACCTCTTTTCATTCTCGAAGGATCATATAGGAGTGCACTAAATTTTACTATAAATTCCTTGACCCTAGCTCCTTGTGGGTGTTTGGGTACAATAAGATTTTTTTTTTTTTTAGACAGCAACTGCTAATTGATATTATCAGTAAAACAGTGGAGGAAGAGACAGGCAAGAAAACTTACTATTCCCCAGCCTCTTTTGGCAGAGGAAAAATGGGGCTTTCCCATTCTTTTTGTTTGTAGTTGCCTGCTACCATGAACAACTGCTCTACCTCAAGTACCACCAGCCTTGGGTTATGCCTTTAACCATTAGTTGGGGCTGTACTTTAATTGTTATGTTAGAGTAATGTAGAGTAATTGTTTTCCTTTAGAATGTTAGGTTCTCTGCCTTCAAGGAGCTTATAGTGAACATTTGGTGGAAAAAAGTGCCAAAATTCAAGGAAATTATTAGCTTTTCTCTTAAATCTTTTCCATTCTACGTTGGCTTATGCTTTAGATTATGAACATATTTTTAGCTCTTAAGAAAATGTTTTGTAAAATTCAAGGCAATATGATAGGTTGCTATAGAGCCACTATATGTCCAATATCATAATGCTTCCTGGGCTTGTCGGGCTACTTAAAAAATACTGGCCAGGTGTGGTGGCTTTATGCCTATAATCCAGACCAAACTGGGCAACATAGTGATACCCAATTTCTACCCCCCTCCCCCCAAGAAATCACAATGCTGATCTTGAAGTGTATCTTGTTCTGTTACACCTCTACAAAGTTGCCTGTCAGGTTGGAAATCTTCAATGTATTAAAGAAGATTTTAGGAATATTTGTAGTTTTTTATTTCAGTAATCAGGGCCAGTCAATACTACGTATCTGTTGTTACAAGAGGTCTTCGGCCGGGCGCAGTGGCTCAAGCCTGTAATCCCAGCACTTTGGGAGGCCGAGGCGGATGGATCACGAGGTCAACAGATCAAGACCATCCTGGTCAACATGGTGAAACCCCGTCTCTACTAAAAATACAAAAAATTAGCTGGGCATGGTTGCGCGTGCCTGTAATCCCAGCTACTCGTGAGGCTGAGGTAGGAGAATTGCCTGTGAACCCAGGAGGCGGAGGTTGCGGTGAGCCGAGATTGCGCCATTGCACTCCAGCCTGGGTAACAAGAGCGAAACTCCATCTCAAAAAAAAAAAAAAAAAAAGAGGTCTTTGAGGGAGTGGAAAGCTAGTGTTTCAAGATCTTTCTCCTAATGGAACACTAGTCCGGGTGTGATGGCTTATACCTGTAATCCCAGCACTTTGGGAGGTCGAGACGGATGGATCACCTGAGGTCAGGAGTTCAAGACCAGCCTGGCCAACATGGTAAAACCCCATCTCTACTAAAAAATACAAAAAATTAGCTGGGCATGGTGGTGGGCGCGTGTAACCCCAGGTACTTGGGAGGCTCAGGCAGGAGAATCACTTGAACCCGCGAGGTGGAGGTTGCAGTGATGAGATTGCACCATTGCACTCCAGCCTGAGCAATGAGAGTGAAGATCTGTCTCAAAAAATAAGAAAAAATAAAAAAGAAAACTATGTGGTAGAGAGACAAAACCAAGAGGTGAAAAGGTATTTGGGTACCTGTAATAAAATTTATTGAAATTTGGTGATACAATTGTGGGCTGAATGCTGAAGGAAGGCTCATTGGAAGGAATAGAACTTGAGTAAAAGCAAACAGAAGAAACCACCATTTTGGGTTGGGGTAATGCTGAGAAAGTATTTGAAGCATGGGGATAATACAAGCTTGCCATGCGAGGTATTGAATTATGGAGTCTTTGAGGATTTTTAAGAAATGTTATGAGCCAAGCATGGTGACTGGTGCCTGTAATCCCAGCTACTTGGGAGGCTGGGGCAGGAGGATCTTTGAGTCCAGAGGGGCTTCAGTATGCTATGAAAACACCTGTGACTAGCCACTGCCCTCCAACCTGGGTAACATAGTAAGACCCTGTCTCTTAAACAACACAAAAAGGAATGTTATGAAAGAATAATTTAGGTTTTATCTACATACAGGGTTGTTTAGAGAAGTGCACAGGAAAGGCGAGGGGATCATTTTCGAGTCCTCTTAGAAATAGACTAGGCATATGGTAATGAAGATGTAAACTGATAGTCATAAATAGGAATGGAAAGAAAGGATCCAGTGAACAGTAGTGTGGAAGCAGAATTCAAAAGAGTTGGAGACTTGGATTCTTGGGAGCAGGAGTAAGGCATTAGTGGACTCTGGGAGTTTGAACTTGTGTGACAGAATGTTGGTGCTGTTGACTGAAATAATGAAGTTGGGAAAGAGCCAGTTATTGAGGGAGAGTTTTGCAGGCAAAGAAGAGGGTACTAAGTTTAATATTAGATGTGCTGAATTGGAAACTGGGGTATTCATATAAAAAGTTGATCCTGTGGGCATCTAACAGTGTGCTGGAGGTAATTCATTCAATACATTTTGAGTCAGACTCATTAATTTTTAATGTTGGATATATATATATATATACATACCTATATCATGTATGTGTATATATATATACAACATACATATGTGTGTATATGTATATCCAACATACAATTTCCCTAAAATAATAGTCACCTCTCCCTCCGCCCCCCCCGCAGCCTTTGAGGCAGAGTCTCACTCTGTTGCCTAGGCTGCAGTACAGTGGCACGATCTCAGCTCACTGCAACCTCTGCCTCCAGGGTTTCAGCAGTTCTCCTGCTTCAGCCTCCCGAGTAGCTGGGATTACAGGTGCCCACTGCCACTCCTGGCTATTTTTTGTATTTTTAGTAGGAACGGGGTTTCACCATGAGAGCCAGGCTGGTCTTGACCTCCTGGCCTCAAGTGATCTGCCTGCCTCATCCCCGCAAAGTGCTGGGATTACAGGCGTGAGCCACCATACCTGGCCTCAGTAGTCACCCTTTTTAAGTGTATAGTTTGGTGAGATTTGATAAGGTATGCAATTGTGTAACTACTACCACCTAAGATACAGACTATTTCCATTTAACATTTCCATCTCCACAAAAAAGTTCTGTGTCCCTTGTAGTCAGTTATCTTGCACCATACCTAACCCCTGGCAATCCTGATAGGTTTTCTGACCCTATATTTTGGCCTTTTCTAGAGTATCCTGTAAATGCAGTTATTTAGTATGCAGCTGTTTGTGTTTGGCTTGTTTTACTTAGCATAGTACTTTCGACAGTCATCCACTTGTTGCACATATATCAATAACACATTTCTTTTTATTGCTGAGTCGTATTCCTAATATGTTTACCCTTTTACATCGAACAATATTTGGGGTCTATTGTGAATGAAGTTACTGGGAACATTTGCATATGGGTCTATGTGTAGATATGTTTTCTTTTTCTTGGGTAAATAGGAGTAGGTTGCCTGTCATATGGTAAGTGTGTGTAGAAACTCATAAGAAGTCGTCTGTTTCCAAAGTAGCTGTGCTATTTTGCATTCCTCTCAGTAACGGTTGAGAGTTTCCAGTTGTTCATATCCTTGTAAGGACTTGGTATTTGTCGGTTTTAAAATTTTAGTCTTTGACATAGGTATGTAGTGTTTTGTAATTGTAGTTTTACTTTGCACTTCCCTAATGATACTGAGGATATTTTAATGCTTGTATTTGCATTTTCCTTTATCTTTGGTAAAGTGTTCACATGTCCATGTTTTATTGGGTTATTTGTCATCCTATTAAGTTGTAATAGTTCATTGTATATTCTGGATGCAAGTTCTTTATCAGATAATATGTTTTATAGATATTTCTATGTGATGGCTATTTACTTGGTTAATAGTATTGCTTACAAGACAGTTTTAATTTTTTTTTTTTTGAGATGGAGTCTCACTCTGTCACCCAGGCTGGAGTGCAGAGGCATGATCTTGGCTCACTGCAACCTTCGCCTACCGGTTTCAAGCAATTCTCCTGCCTCAGCCTCCTGAGTAGCTGGAATTACAGACGTGTGCTACCACGCCCAGATAATATTTGTGTTTTAGTAGAGACGGGGTTTCACCATGTTGGTCAGGTTGGTCTCCAGCTTCTGACCTTGTGATCTGCCCGCTTTGGCCTCCCAAAGTGCTGGGATTACAGGCGTGAGCCACCACGCCCGGCTGACGACAGCTTTAATTTTGGTGACGTCCAATCTATTTTTAAAATTTATGGGTAGTGCTTTTTGTATCCTGTATAAAACATTAAGTCATTGCTGTCTCTAAGATCACAAAGATATTCTGGACTCTCTCTAAGAAGTTTTATGTATTTTTAGCTGTTATGTTTAGGTCTACGGCTCATTTAGAATTAATTTTTCTAGGCTGGTCGCGGTGGCTCACGCCTGTAATCCTAGCACTTTGGGAGGCCGAGGTGGGTGGATTATCTGAGGTCAGGAGTTCAAGACCAGTCTGGCTATCATGGTGAAACCCCATCTTTAAAAATAAAAAATAAAAAGAAAAAGAATTAATTTTTCTAGATGATGCAAGGCAAAGTTTGAAAGCTTGAGGTGTTTTTTTTTTAATGTGGATTTCCAGTTGTCATTCAACAGATATCAATTGATTTGGGCCTAGTATTAATACAAATAAACATAAACAGCTTCTGTTGGTGGGGCCCGGTTGTTCATGCCTGTAATCCTAGCACTTGGGAGGCTGAGACGCGGTTCAAGACCAGTCTGGGCAACTTAGTGAGACCTTGTCTCTGCAAAAGATTGAAAATGTTAGCTGGGTGTAGTGGTGCATGCCTGTAATTTCAGCTATTCAGGAGGGTGAGGTGGGAGGATTTCCTGAATCTAGGAGATTGAGGCTGCAGTGAGCTGTGATCCTGCCACTGCACTTCAGCTTGGGCAATAGAGCGAGACCCTGTTACAGAAAAACAACCAAACAAAAAACAACTATTTCTGCCTATGAAGAATATGCTGGGATGCAATGCAAACCAGACATGTAAAAACACAAATTACAATCTGGTATAATGTTTGGAACCATAAACATCAGTAGTTAAATATTCCGATCCCAGCTCTGCTGCCATACTGGCACAAAGTTAGTTTAATAAATTTTGGCCGTTACTCTCTACCGAATACAGACATTGCATATTGAATAAGGTAATTAGCTTCAAAAGGATGAAAGTATCAAGGAAGGACATTTTTGTTCCATTTTAAAGATGAAGAAACTAGGGTAGAGAGAGGCTAAATAACTTGCCCAAGATCACACAGATGAAAAGATTTTTAGCATATGTTTAAAGTTGGTTGTGTATCTTGAAGTATTTGTTTTAGGTTGTGACTGTTGTATGTAGCACTACACTAGTATGTAGCACTAGGCACATACAGTAGTTACAACCTAAAACAAATACTTCAAGACACATAACCAATTGTAGCCTGGAAAAAACTGTTGTTTTTCTAGAACAGAAACTATCTTATTTTTCTGTCCCTATTGCCTGGCACTAAATAACCCAACAAACATTTAATGGAGTGAAGGTTACTATTAATGTTATAGTGGAAGATATGTGAATTACATTATAATTTTTCATGTGCTTTCGATTAGGCTCTTGAATCTAAAAATCCATTATAAGTCAGCAATATTTGTATTTTGGGTTTGTTGTTGCTGTTGTTTGGATACAGGGTCATCCTTCTGTCACCCGGGCTGGTGTGCAGTGGCTCAATCTCAGCTCACTGCAGCCTTGCCTTCCCCGGTTCAGGTGATCCTCCCACACCTCAGCTTTCCGAGTAGCTGGGATTACAGGTGCACACCCACCACCCCTGGCTAATATTTTGTACTTTTAGTAAAGTACAAAATAGGTTTTCACCATATTGTCCAGACTGGTCTCAAACTCCTGGCTCAAGTGATCTACCTGGCTCGGCCTCCCAAAGTGCTCGGATTAACAGGTGTGAACCACTGTGCCTAGCCTAATATTTGTATTTCTACTGTTCTCTTTTGCCTGCTAGGTTTCTGATAATTTCATAAGATGAACATAAGAAATGGCGATTTTTGAGGCTGGGTATAGTGGCTCACACCTGTAATCCCTGGACTTTGGTTGGCCAAGGCCAGCAAATCACTTGAGGTCAGAGTTTTGAGGCCATCCTGATCAACATAGTGAAACCCCATCTCTACTAAAAAATACGAAATTAGCTGGGCATGGTGGCATGCACCTGTAATCCTAGATGCTTGGGAGGCTGAGACACAAGAATCATTGGAACCTGGGAGGCAGAGGTTACAGTGAGCTGAGATCACGCCATTGCATTCCAGCGTGGGCAACAAGAGTGAAACTACATCTCAAAAAAAAAAAAAAAAAAAGGTCAAGTATTGGCATTTTCATATGGTTTAACCCATGGAAGTCTTAGATCCTGTTACCTTCCACTTTGCTAAACTGCTGCTTCCTGTTTCTAAATTTTTTAGAGATGGAGTCTCACTGTGTTGCCCAATCTGGATTCCAACTCCTGGGCTTAAGTGATCCTCCCACCTCAGCTTCCCAAGTAGTTGGGGCTGTAGGCACGTGCCACCACACCTGGCAGCTGCTTCCTATTTCTTGTTTCAGTGAAAGAATAAATGTAAACAAGATGAGATAAACTAACATTTATTCATTTATTGAATAGACCAAATATTTGTCTCTTTCTACTTGCTTTGTCCCTCTGCTTACGAGTTTTAAATGAACATGTATTTGAAATTTCTTTTCTTAGATGGAGATGGTGATGGAGATGGAGCAACTGGAAAGAAGAAGAAAAAGAAGAAGAAGAAGAGAGGACGTTAGTGTCTTAAGTTAATCTTACTTGGTATATTAAAAGTGGTTATTTGGCCGGGTGTGGTGGCTTATGCCTGTAATCCCAGCACTTTGGAAGGCCAAAGCGGTTGGATCACTGGAGGTCAGGAGTTCAAGACCAACCTGGCCAACATGGTGAAATCCTGTTTCTACTAAAAAATACAATAGTTAGCCAGGCATGCTGGCTCACACCTGTTATCCCAGCTACTTGGGAGGCTGAGGCAGGAGAATCACTGGAACACAGGAGGCAGAGGTTGAGTGGTTGAGGTCATGTCACTGCAGTCCAGCCTGGGTGACAGAGTGAGACTCTGTCTCAAAAAAAAAAAAAAGAAGTGGTTATTCACCCACAGATTTGAAGTTGCTTAAGGTCCTGATATATGTCAGGGAAATAAACTTAGGCTTAATAGAAGCAGATTTTAGTGAAACTAATAATTATTTAGAAAATAACTTTGGCTTAACAATCCTGTATATTCTTTAGCTGTTAGCTTAGGGATGTCAATGTGAATTGGTTGCATTTTACTGCAAATTAGGGATGAGTTTCTAAAAATTTTATGATTCAAAACTTGCATAATTTAAAAAATAATTCTGTCAGGAATGGCTAAAGTGGTGCCACTGTGGTGGTAGGGTAAACGTTGTTTGTAATTTACCTTCCAGCTTTTAAATTATGAGATTCTTCATGAATATTTAAAGAGAAGTCCCATTATTTAAAATGTGTGCATATGGTCAGACTTTATTATTGATAATAACTTTTATATTATCAGATTTGTATAAAATGTCCTACTTGTTTTGAGTTTCTATAAATGGCACAACCAAACATCATCAGGGACCTGAAAATATATTAGTGAGACTAAGGGGAGATTTCATTGTACTGAGGAGGAAAGGTAGGGTTGAGAATCACAACGTGTAAGTTTTAATCTTAGATGCCATTTAGGCTGTTGGAGACCACTGAATGTCTGATTATGCCTTCCTTTAAAATTTTTCAGGCTAAAATTTTATGAATCAGAATTTTGGGAGTTTGGTAGTCATTCACCGGTTTTCTAAGTGGAGGTAGGATAGCTTTCTTTGTGTTCAGACATCCCTCCTTAGTAGATCCTTCTACTCTTAGATGAGGATATCCACTCTTCTTGTAGCCTGTGGGCACATGAGTCTGTATTGATGAGCACACAATACTTGCATTCCAGGAATCTTCTAGGGGCTATAATGTCCTATTCTTTCCACTTAAAAAAAAAAAAATCATTAACAGTTTGGCTATGAGAAATAGTATTACCTGAGAATAACTTAAGAGACATCGATTTCTAAAAAAAAAAAAGCCATACCTGTTTCTCCAAGTACTCTACAATTGCTCCCTTATGAAGGCAGACCAGCAGGGAGGAGTGTTGTTAGAGGACTGTTTTATATTTGCCCTTGATAGAATTCTTCTGACAGATGTTTAAGTATGATGCCATTAACCTGTGTTGTGCTTCCTCTGAGGATGTTGTTGAATGTACTGTTTATTATATTTCTTTATGAGCATTCTCTAGAGCTACTTCTTTTTTTTCTGCTTACTATCAAGGATAATTGTGTTTTTCTGAGTATCAGTCTACTTTATCTCAGAAACATTGTGACCTGTGTAAATAACTTTTTTTTTTTTTTAATGTCGGCTACTAAAGGGCTTAGAGCTAAATGTGTGGTTTATGTTGGCCTTATTTCAAGCACTATTTTATGTTGTTGTTCTTGTTTTGGTTTTTACTAGTTTACTTCAAATGTCTGACTTGTTTATTTTTTATATCCTGGTAGACTTCTTGAATCATTTCTGGAACAAGCCAAATAATACAGTCATGGGCAGTTCACTGTCTTCATTTTCCTCATCTATACAGTGGAAAAATCATAAATGATAGTTAATGATAACTATAGTACAGATTATTATAGATAATTCATAGTTTTATATAACTTGGATGTAGTACATTATAATTTCAAAGATTATCCAAGATTTCATCTGATCGTTCATTTTGTAGATGAGGAAACTGAGGCTTGGTACCATTTAGTCATTTGTTCAAGTCACAGCTAGTAAGTGGTAAAGACTAGATATTAACTTTGATATTCTGATTACAAATTCTGTTTTTTCTCTAATGAACTTTTTGAGTCCCTTATCATGTAATTTATACACAATATAAAAGGCATCTTTATCAGATTTTTAGATGAGATAAAGTCGGGGTAATAAAATACTTTGACAAAAATCAAGATTTCAGAAGACCAGAATTGATTATTTGTGCTCTTAACTTTATGCCTATTATGCCCTTGAAATAGTAGTTTTGCTTATTTTATTAATATATATTAGGTTTATATTTTTATTTTATTGCTATAGGACGACTTATTACTTTGGTTTGTATTTGTGAAAGCCAATGTCTCTATGCTATTCCATCTCTATAGTGAATGAAGATGAAAAAATTGGAAGTGTGCTTTTTGTGAAGGCATATACTGTTTAAATACGTAGTGGCATTCTGAGGAGTTAAAAATTTCTTTTCCCAAGCAGCAATAAATCAGTGAGGAGGTCGCCAGCGTGTTGAAGTGTCTTCTGTTTTTAACTGTGATAGCAAGGAGGAGGTTACTTAAAATCAGAACATATAGCAACCATTAGGAACTGAGAAAACTCTAATAACTGCTTAATTTTATTTATAACTATAAAAGTTAATGCTTTATTTGTATCTCACAGCAAAAGTTCAAACAGACCCTCCCTCAGTTCCAATATGTGACCTGTATCCTAATGGTGTATTTCCCAAAGGACAAGAATGCGAATACCCACCCACACAAGATGGGTAAGGATCATCAAATCACTTCCAGTTTAACTTTTGGCAATTGTAGCTCAGCAATAAAGCAGATTTGACATTTCTCAGAGCTTTGCTCCACTACTTTATAAATGCTTGTAAATTTCTTGTGAAGAAGATGCAGTAGAAGCCCTCTTACCCAAAATGATTGGGACCAATAACAGGTTGGTTAATTTAAAAATTATCTTAAACTGAGGATCACAAAATAAAAATTCTTGTAGATAAAGGTTAACATAAACAAATTCGTTTTCACCTCTCTTCATATTTGGATACATATTAGCACTTGCCTGCCCCCCCCCAACATATGTATTCATAATGCATTATCTATAGTTCCATTTTGGGTTTCTGAGTGATGTAAGGGTTGATGCCTGCTATATCTTTAGTTTTTTTCCCTGAAACCTTTTGATAGTTCTTAACTACACTTAATTTGACAGAAGTATTTTTTGATGACTTAACCTTATTGAGATTTATCAGGATAGTTAATTTTCATGGCAAGTTTTTTTGATGTAACATTATTAAATCACATAATTGCCATAACAAGTACAGATGACTTAAACAGTCTTGAGAACAGATTCACCTGATTCTTCAAGGTGTTCTGTAAGGATACATTTCAGATGGTTAGCAGAAGTGGCATTATGTAGACATACTGAGAGCATGGAAGCTGGAACCAAACTATCTGCATTTGAATCCCAGTTCTAACACTTACTAGCTTTGTGACTTGGGCAAGTAATTATCACATCTGTGCTTTCATTTCCATAAAATGGGCACTCTGCAGGATTGTGAAGAATGATGTATGAAAAACACTTAGAAGAGTAGATACATAATGAACATAAAGCAAGCTAGTTGCAGTTATTCAGAATAGGAACCTCTCAGCCACAATATTTATAATACCATGGACAGTGATCAGTATGTTTTGCAGAGGGAGTTAAGAGTTTTGCTTAATACAGTGGTTGCAGTCATTGGTTAAGAAAGCTTCTACTGTAGCTCTTACTTGTTGGCCTGTAAAGACACCATTATTTTTCTTTAAACATAAAAAAGAAAAAAGAACATACTATTAACATTGTCACCTGCTCCCTCGTTTCCAATTATGAATGTTCTTAGGGGATAAGTCTGTAAAACTCTGGCATTTTATGGCATGGGCTTCTTTTCTTTGAATTTGAAATCATCAATTGCCCCTATCTTAAAACACCTATTTTTAAAATGTCGCAGATACAGATAATTTTACATTAATAAATTCTTATAGTACATATGATGTGATCACATTTATTTTTAAATATAATCTCTTAATTTTTTTTTTTTTTTTTTTTTTGCTTGTTCCCTCTTCTTTTCCTTCCTTCCAGACCCATGTTAACCACCTAGCAGGTAGCCTTCCATATTTTTTCTATGCTCATATATGTATACATCTGTCTGTTTATGTAAGGGAATGTTTGATCATTGTTTTACAGAAATGGAATCATAGGCATATGTTCTCTGCCTTCCTTTTCGCATTCAGTGCTAACTAATGGAAGTTCCTCCAAGTCAATTAGAATACTTCTATTATTATCTTGAATGGCTTCATAATATTCCATGGTGTGAGAGTACCACACTTTATTCCACCATTCTCTAGCTGATGGCCATTTGCTTTGTCTGCAATAATTTTTGCCACTGTAAAGCATTCTGTAGTAAACCTCTTTAGGTAAATAGGTAGCTAGATAGATAGTGTATTTCTCTCTCTCTCTCTTTCTCTCTCATATACTGGTAGTTATATTCTGAAATAATTTTTTAGGTGTGAGATTGATTAATCAAAGAATAGATTAATAATTTCTGATTCTTAAAACTACTAGTAATTTTGGGCAACTTTTGTTTGTAGGCTTTGTTTATGATATCCTTTGCTCTTCCCTGTTTTATTTTTTTAATTTTTAAAATTAAAAAAAATTTTTTTTTCTTTTTGAGATGGAGTCTTGCTCTCTCGCCAGGCTGCAGTGCAGTGGTGTGATCTCGGCTCACTGCAACCTGTGACTCCCTGATTTGAGCGATTCTTCTGCCTCAGTCTCCAGAGTAGCTGGGATTACAGGCACACGCCACCACGCCCAGCCAATTTTTGTGGAGATGAGGTTTCACCATGTTGGCCAGTATAGTCTCAATCTCCTGACCTTGTGATCTGCCCGCCTCAGTTTCTCAAAGTGTTGGGATTACAGGTGTGGCCACCACACCCGGTGTCTTAAGATTTTAAATGCATTATGTGTCCATATTTAATATTTCTGAATTCTCAGTAATCTCTCAGATTTTCTTGAATATCTATTTTGTGTTTTATTACATCGTTTTTTTTTCCGAGATAGAATTTTGCTCTTGTTTCCCTGGCTGGAGTGCAATGGCACCATCTTGACTCACTGCAGAAACTCTGCCTCCCGGGTTCAAGAGTTTCTCCTGCCTCAGCCTCCTGAATTGCTGGGATTACAGGCGTGTACCATCATACCCGGCTAATTTTTGTATTTTTAGTAGAGATGAGGTTTTACCATGTTGGTCAGACTGGTCTGGGAACTCCTGACCTCAAGTGATCCATCTGCCTCGGCCTCCCCAAGTGCTGGGATTATAGGCGTGAGCCACCGTGCCTGGCTAGTTTGTTGTTTATTAATTAATCCCTCCTACTGAATTGAATGACCATATTTGCCACATGCTATATTCCAATGTATGTAATGGAGTCAGTTTCTGTATTATTTACTCTGCTCCACTGATCTGTGTGTTTGTTCTTATGCTAACACTATTTTGATTTGATATCCCAAACAATTCTTTTTAACGCTTTTCTTAGCTACCCTCAGTCATGTAGCCTTACACACACACATACACATACAGACACAAATGTCCTTGTTAAAATTCTTATCAGAATTGCGTTTATATTTATGTGTTAGTTTCTGAAAATTAACATTTTTATCACCTTGTCTTATCCAATGTCATGGGATGTTTTTGGTGCTTTTTTTTTTTTTTTCACGTATTCAATTTTTTTTTTTTTTTTTCAGTTAGGTCCTAGCCCTTTTTAGTTAAATTTACTCTTAAGTGTTTCATGGTTTTTGTTAGTGATCTGAATGAATTATTTTAATCTCATTTCTGTTTCTTTATACTTATTGCTAGAGTGAAGGAAAGCCATTGAGTTCTTATACTAGTTAACAGATTGTTAATACTTTTAGTAATGTGAATATTGTGGAACACTTGAAGTGGTATTTAATACATGAAAAAAATGAGATTTTGTAAACCTAAAAAACTTCATTTTCCTTAGTCTCAGCTTCTATTGAAATTAAGTAGAATAACTTCTGTTTTTGAAATAATGAGGGAAGATATTAATTACAATTTATAATACTTCTCAAAATAATTTTCCTAAATATTGCAGTATTGTATATTATCTGGGAGAAATACAGAATAAGCATAAGATAGTGTGATGTGTTTTCTGCTTTTTTTTTTTTTTTTTTGAGACGGAGTTTCGCTCTTGTTACCCAGGCTGGAGTGCAATGGCGCGATCTCGGCTCACCGCAACCTCCGCCTCCTGGGTTCAGGCAATTCTTCTGCCTCAGCCTCCTGAGTAGCTGGGGTTACAGGCATGCACCACCGTGCCCAGCTAATTTTTTGTAATTTTTAGTAGAAACGGGGTTTCACCATGTTGACCAGGATGGTCTCGATCTGTTGACCTCGTGATCCACCCGCCTCGGCCTCCCAAAGTGCTGGGATTACAGGCTTAAGCCACCGCGCCCGGCCGTGTTTGCTTTTTAATAAATCTCAATACTTTTTACATTCATATAACTGGTTTTGACTGTTTGCAAATAGATCAGATTCAGTATTCTTACAGATTTTGTATAGTTTATATCTTTATTTTATTAATAAACTTTTATTGGAAATTCAATGAATTATCACAAATAACTCACCTGTGAAACTTTTCTAGGTTAAGTGTATTTTAAAAAACTTCTTTTGAAATAATTTCATACTTCCAGAAAAGCTACAAGCATAGTACAAAGAATTTCCACATACCTTTCACCTAGATTTCCTTTGTTTTGCCACATTTGTTTTATTCTTCTCTGTCTCAATGGAATTTAACAAGTACGCATATTGTCATATACCAATAACATTCCATTTTCTCCTTGGAAGACAGATATAAGGCAAATGTGAAAAATGTTAAATCAGTGAGTCTGTATACATATAATTTTATTTTTTCTTTTTTCGTTTTGTTTTGAGATAAGGTCTCACTCTGTTAGCTGGGCTGGAATACAGTGGCATGATCATAGTCTACTGTAGCCTGGAACTTCTGAACTTGAGCAGTCCTCCTGCATTGGCCTCCCAAAGTGTTGGGATTACAGATGTGTGCCATCACACCTGGCATAGTATTTTTTTCTGAGCCAGACTGTACATTTTTGGCTGGGGTACTAGATAATATATATGCAGTATCCTCTTCAGGGTGTTATATCTGGAGACATACAATGTCAATTTGCTCCTTATTGGTGGTGTTTAATTTTTATCGTTTGTTTAAATTAGTAGCCAGTTTCTCCAGTGCACTGATAGGATTTTTTTCCTCTTGTAATTATTAATTTGTGGGAAGTTGTTTTGAGTATATCCAGATAACTATTGTGAACACCCTTCTAACACAGAGCTTGAAACCTTTTTTTTCTTTAAAGATGGGGTGTCGATGTATTGCCCAGGCTGGTTTAGAATTCCTGGGCTCAGGTGATCCTCCCACCTTATCCTTTCAAGTAGCTTTGAAACTAATTTTTAATAGTTGTAGTAATATTTGTTTGCTTTGTAAAACCAGGATCCACTTGAGGTTTCCATTGCATATGGTTAGAGTCCTCACCTATTTCTCTTTCTCTTCAGTGTCCCATCTCTTTGAGGAAACCAGGCAGTTGTAGAAAGTCTCATGTTCTGGAATTTCTCCGATTGTTCCTTTGTGGGGTGTTAAAGTTTTTTCTCTACGTCTGTGTTTTCTGTAAACTGGAATTAGGTATTAATGGACTTAGATTAGATTTAGATTAAACATTTTTGAGAGAGATATAAAATAAGTGATTGTGACCTTCATATTTTACCATATTCTGTTATGTTAGATGTAACATCAGGCTATCCTACTGTCTTATCATGTTTGACCTCTTGATTAATGTGACAGCCAACTTTTAAAAAATTTTTTCCTTTAAAGGTACTTTCTTCTTTTTGCAGTTTCCAAGTAATCTGTGGGGCTCCTTTGGTATCATTTGGAACATCTATCTGTCTGTCTTTCTTTTCTTCCTTTCTGTTTATTTAGTTTATGCAAACTTGAGAAGAAAGGAATATCTTTTTCTTAACTTTTCACTGATGATCCTTGCTTTTATGGGTTATTTCATTGGAAACTGCAAAATGGTAGATTTCTAATTCTTTTATTTCTTCTACATTTATTAGGTGATACTATTCTGTAACAAGAGTTTTCTCTATCAACTGGGAATCAACTATAGTTCCATATTATAGGCAGACTTAATATGTGCTTTATTTCTTACCCGTTAAGTACCAGTTTTTAGAGGAAGGACTTTATGTCATATATGCATACATTTTAATTATTACTGGTTTTTTTTTTTTGAGACGGGTCTCATTCTGTTGCCCAGACTGGAGTGCAGTGGTGCAATCTGGGCTCACTACAACCTCTGCCTTACAGGCTCAAGCAGTTCTTATGCCTCAGCCTCCCAGGTAGCTGGGACTACAGGTGTGTACTGTCACACCTGGCTAATTTTCTGTCACCCAGACTGGAATGCAATGGAGAGATCATAACTCAGTTTAGCCTTGATCTCTGGGTTCTCCCACCCATCTCCTGAATAGGTGGGACTACAGGCTTGTGCCAACTTGCCTGGCCAAAGTTTTTTTTTCTTTTTATAGAGATGGAGTCTTTCTATGTTACGTAGGCTGATCTTGAACTTCTGGGCTCAAACAGTCCTCCTGCCTCAGCCTTCCAAATGGCTGGGATTATAGGCATGAGCCACTGCACCTGGAGTATGAGTATCATGTATATACATATACATATACACATATACATACATATATTTATTTATTTTTGGTAGAGACAGGGCTTCACTGTGTCACCCTGGATTGTCTCGAACTGTTGGCCTCACGCAATTCTCCCACTTTGGCCTCCCTAACTGTTGGGATTATTGGAATAAGCCACTCTGCCTGGCTTTAATTTCTATACTTTTGTTTAACTGACTGAGCAAAATAAGATCAAATGTGAGAAAACAATATTCTTTGTTTTTAGGGGGTCTGGAATTAATAGACCCTGACATTAAGTTTCTCATGTTTTTAATAACTTTCAATTTGAATTCAAGACTTTGAGCAAAGGAGTTCTTTAATCCCATTTCTTTTTACTGTATTATTTATTTTTATTTTTAATTTTATTTATTTATTTTTTTGAGACAGAGTCTCACTCTGTTGCCCAGGCTGGAGTGCAGTGGCATGATCTTGGCTCACTGCAACCTCCGCCTCCCAGGTTTAAGTGATCCTCCTACCTCAGCTTACCAAGTAGCTATGACTACAAGCACGTACCACCATGCCCAGCTAATTTTTGTATTTTTAGTAGAGATGGGGTTTCACCATCTTGGCCAGGCTGGTCTTGAACTCTTGACCTCATGATCTGCCCCTCCTTGGCCTCCCAAAGTAGCTAGGATTACAGGCATGAGCCACTATGCCTGGCCATGCCCAGCTAATTTTTTTTTTTTTTTTTTGGTAGAGAAAGAGTCTTCCTGTGTTGCCCAGATTTAGTCTTGAACTATGAGCCTCAAGTGATCCTCCCACCCTGGCCAGGGTCTTTAGTTTAGGGCAGAGTTGAATGAACTTTTTCTTCAAAGGGCATATAGTAAATAATTTAGGCCTTGAGTGTTACTTAGCTTTGCCATTGTAGCATGAAAATAGCTGTAGAACAGGTCTGGCCTGGTGGCTGCCCTCGCATTCCCCTTCTTTTTTTTTTTAACAAAAAAAAAGAGAAAAAACAGCTATAGACAATACATAAATGAGCGGGCACTTGTTGCAATAACATTTTATTTACAAAACAGACAGCAGGGGAGGCAAATAGGAGTAATTCCAGGAAGGTATCACTTTTATACTTGTGTAATTTATACTCAGTGATCACTATGTTGCAAACTGTGTATTCAGTATTTAAGAATGTGAGAAAATTGTAACAGATTAAAAAAAAATCATGTTAAAGCAGTTAATGTTTTTCCTACTTACAGGGAGTCATGGATCTCATTCCTAGATACTGAATAAAAAATTCTCAGTGGCTCATGCCTATAATCCCAACACTTTGAGAGGCCAAGGCAGGTGGATCCCCGAGGTCAGGAGTTCAAGATCAGCTTGGCCAGCATGGTGAAACCCTGTATCTACTAAAAATACAAAAATTAACCAGGCGTGCACTAGCACGCCTGTAATCTCAGCTACTCAGGAGGCTGAGACAGGAGAATCGCTTGAACCCAGGAGGCAGAGGTTGCAGAATGCCAGGATTGTGCCACTGCACTCCATCCTGGATGACAGAGCGAGATTCCATCTCAAAAAAAAAAAAAATAACAAAAATCTGTCAGGTGGGGTGGCTAATGCCTATACTCTCAGCCACTTGGGAGGCTGAGGCAGGAGTATCACTTAAGGCCAGGAGTTCAAGATTAGCCTGGACAATATAGCAAGACCTCATCTCTTGAAAAAAAAATTTTTTTTTAAGTTAGCTAAGTGTGGTGGTATGCACCTGTTTATTCCCAGCTGCTTGAGAAGCTGAGGCAGAAAGAACCTAGGAGTTTGAGGATGCAGTGAGGTATGATCCCATCACTGCATCTGCCTGGGTGACAGAGTGAGACCCTGTCTCTTTGTCTCTTCTCTCCCCCGCCCCAAGACAGAGTTTCAGTCTTAGGCCCAGGCTGGAGTGAAGTGATGCGATGTCAGCTCACTGCAGCCTCCACCCCCCAGGTTCCAGCGATTCTCCTGCCTCAGCCTCCAGAGTAGCTGGGACTACAGGTGCTTGCCACCATGCCCGGCTAATATTTGTATTTTTATTAGAGATGGGGTTTCACCATGTTGGCCAGGCTGGTCTCAAACTCCTGACCTCAGGTGATCCACTTGCCTCAGCCTCCCAAAGTACTGGGATTACAGGCCTGAGCCACTGCCCCCAGCTGAGACCCTATCTTTTAAAACAAAAAGAAATTTGTTAGCACTGGCAGTTTTAAAATGTGAGCCATGTCTCTCAAGGAAGAACACCTCTTATATATAAAAACAATTAGAAAAACCCTACAGAAGCATATAATATGTGTTTTGAGGAAGTATATGCAGATTTTCAGGTCAGTTTCTTGGATTAGTATTTATCCTGTTGGCACAGCTCCTTTGAAGTCTAAAGCATTTATGACCTCAAGTGGAAGGATGACTTTTTCCTACCTACTCTGATTCTAGGACTCTTTTCAGACTGTTCTGACTCTTTTGTTATCTTTTTGTGTTGTCAGGGTATTAGTTCCTCTGACTATGAATGAAATATCACAGGATATTTTTCGTCCCTTATGAGTCTTAAAAAGGTTTTAACTTCATTTATTTGGGTTGGTTGCAAGTGTTTGACTTTTTGTATTTCAGAAACTTTGTTGACATAAACTGAGTATGTAATGTAGTTTTATTTGAACTGTCTCATTACTTAGTATAGTTTTATCTCCCTCAGCTTTTATGCTTGTTCCGCTGTCTTAATGACTAATAGTACGCTATACCCACTCTAAAGGCGAACAGCTGCTTGGAGAACTACAAGTGAAGAAAAGAAAGCATTAGATCAGGCTAGTGAAGAGATTTGGAATGATTTTCGAGAAGCTGCAGAAGCACATCGACAAGTTAGAAAATACGTAATGAGCTGGATCAAGCCTGGGATGACAATGATAGAAATCTGGTAAAAGGAATACTTTTTTGTAAGAACATGATTTAAAAAAAATTTTATAAGTACTAACTCACCAATTGTAATGTTTGGCTTTCCTTACCACTTTGCTAAATCTTTAAGTAAAGGTTATAGAAATGTCTTCTACATTATTTTAGTGTCACTATGAGAAAACCATGGAGAGGAGTACCCACTGGCACTCCAGCCACTCTGTTTTGTGCACATGTAGTCATTACTGATTCTTATTTTCCATCCGGAAATCTTTTATTTTGCTATCTAATAATTCATACTAAGAAATACAAAATTACTGGAGCAGTTGCTTAAATACAGAACATGATGATAATGCAGTAAGACAAAGTAATTATTTCTCTAGTTTTTCCTTTTGAGAAATGATTAGTGTAACATGTAATTCTCTGATTCCTACAATTTAAAAAATATTCAACATGAACAAATAAGGTCAGCATTTAAATTGGTCTAAATTAGACTCTTATTTTCTAGTAAATTTAGTTAAAAGTGGATTGTGTTTTTTCTGAGTTTCTGGTGGAATCAAATTTCTTGTCTTCTAAAGATGAACTGTTTTCATAGCATCAGAGAACTATTTATTTATATTCAGAAAGTGCTCAGATCATTCCCAGAAAGTATTTAAGATTTTTCATTAACTTTTGGGATGTGATGAGCTATATGGTATTAATATACAAGAGTAAGAATACAAAATTAAACAAATTCCCTTTTTTTTTGTTTGTTTTAGTGAAAAGTTGGAAGACTGTTCACGCAAGCTAATAAAAGAGAATGGATTAAATGCAGGCCTGGCATTTCCTACTGGATGTTCTCTCAATAATTGTGCTGCCCATTATACTCCCAATGCTGGTGATACAACAGTATTACAGTATGATGACATCTGTAAAATAGACTTTGGAACACATATAAGTGGTAAATTCTTACAGAAAATAACTACCCCAGCCTCCTCCTGAAAACTCTAGTTTTTGTTTCTGTTAAATGGAGTGATAAATAAATACTGAACTCCCGAATTTTGTTCTTGCTTCCTCACTTCATTGGTAAAGGTGTGTTGAGGCAGATTTTAAAGAAAAACGTAGTGTAGTTATAAGGAGAGAGAAGCAGTTGTGAGATTTACTTCAAAGCATACTACTAAAGTGGAATGAAATGTTGGGTAGTTGAGGTTTATTACCCTTTGTATCAAGGCGTGAAAGACATCATCTTCCCTTTCTTCATTCAGGTCATTGTTTCATACCTCTTTTATTCAAATAATAACATTTATATGGTATATTTAAGTTTATCAGCCTTTATATACATGTTTACTTTCCAAATTTCTCCAAAACCCGATCAGGTAAGCACCTCGTTACCTCACTTACAAGCGAGAAAGCAAGCTTAGATGAAATACTTAGCTAAGGTTTCACTACATTGGAAAGTACTATGTTCAGAGCCCTGTATACTTTCTCTGCCCTGTGTTGCTATTCCTCATTTCCTTAGTCTTTTCTTGCATTCATTTTGTTTCTGTTTATATGTTTGTATAACTGCCAGGGTGAGCACTGAATGGATGCTGTCTTGGAGTAATATATACTAACTCTGTAGTTATTCCTTTTTATTCTGAATTATTTGTATATTTCTACTTTTTGTCTCTTTGATTATGAATAATCTCTGGGTATTTGGAATACAGCCTTTATTTGAGCCTTCATTCTGTTTTTCTGTTAAACTTGCAAGATCAATAGAATAAATGCTATAAAGTAGATAAATTGACTAGCTGATAACTAAAATTAAAAGAGGTATTTTCTCTTTCAGGTAGGATTATTGATTGTGCTTTTACCGTCACTTTTAATCCCAAATATGATGCATTATTAAAAGCTGTAAAAGATGCTACTAACACTGGAATAAAGGTATGTGATCTCTAAGCACCATTTCATTCACGTATTTTGAGCACTTTAAGGTCTTTTAAACACAGCATTTAAGTACTTTTAAGGCCTGTTTAAAGTCTTTGAGTAATTAAGATGAATAAAACTGATCCATTGCTCTATCATTTTAAGCGAGTAATTGTATTATAGTGTGCCAAAGGTGTTTTGTTTTGTTTTTCCCCTGTTAAAATTTATTACAACAGAATTTGGATCTATATTTGCCTGTCAGTCGGCAATGATTATTTTTGTGTGTGTGTGTGGATTTTTTTAGAACAATTTTAAGTTCGCAGCAAAATTGAACAGAAAGTGCAGAAATTTCCCATATACTCTCCCCTCCCCAACTTCTTCTATTGTCAACATCCCTACCACATGGGTATATTTGTTAAAATCATTTGGACCAATATTGACCACATCACAGTTGTTCAAAGTTTGTAGTTTACATTAGGGTTCATTCTCAGTATTATGCATTCTAAGGGGTTTGAAATATATAATGACATGCATCTACCATTATAGTATCATATAGAGTATTTTCACTCCCACCAAAATCATCTGTGCTCACCTGATTCAGACTTATTCATTCCTCTTTTTCCACCAAGCCCTGGTACAGCCCAGCTTTTCTCCATGTAATTTTATTTTTTGGAGGGGGGTACAATTAAAATAGACATTACATAAAATTTACCATGTGAACTTTTTTTTTTTGAGATGGAGTCTGTCTTTGCCCAGGCTGGAGCGCAGTGGTATAGTCTTGGCTCACGGCAACCTCCGCCTCCTGGGTTCAAGCAATTCTCCTACCTCAGCCTCCTGAGTAGCTGGGACTGCAACTGCCTGCCGCCATGTCTGACTAATTTTTGTATTTGTAGTAGAGACGGGATTTCACCATATTGGCCAGGCTGGTCTTGAACTCCTGACCTTGTGATCTGCCTGCTTCAACCTCTCAAAGTGCTGAGATTATAGGTTTGAGCCACCCACACCCAGCCATTTTTCAGTATGTTGTTCATTGGTATTAAGTAAACTTAAAATATTGTGCAACCATCATTATCATTCATCTCTGTTTACTCTTTTTATGTTGTAAAACTGAAAACTCAGTACTCATTAAACAATAACTCCCAATTTCCTCTTCTACCCCTACCCTGGTAACCACCATTCTACTGTATATGATTTTAAATATGTAGTATTTGTGATTTTGTGACTGGTTATTTCACTTAGCACAGTGTACTCAAGGTTCACCTATATTGTAGCATATGTCAGAATAAAGGAAGTAAATTCTGACTTACGCTACAACACATTTTTATATACCACATTTTTGCTTATCCATTCATCCATTGATGGACACTTGGATTGCTCCCGTGAGTTAGCTATTGTGAATACTGCTGCTATGAATATGGGTGTACAAATATCTCTTCAAGATCTATTTTCAGTTCTTTTGGGTATATTCAGAAGTGGATTTGTTGAATCAGCTGGTAATTACATTTTTAAAAAACTTTTTGAGTATCTTCTATACTGCTTTCCACGATGGCTCTACCATTTTACATTCAAAAGTATAGTACTTATTTTACAGTACAAAAGGAAGGGTTCTAATTTTTCCATTTCTTCACTAATGCTATTTTCTGGGTAGTGTTTTATATCTTTGGAGAAATGTCCATTCAAGTTTTTTTGCCCATTTTCATTTTTTTTTTTAATTAAAAAAAAAGTAGAGATTGGGGGTCTTGCTATGTTACCCAGGTAGGTCTTGAATTCCTGGGCTCAAGCCATCCCCTCACCTCGGCCTCCCACAGTGCTGGGATTACAGGCATGAGCCACTGTACCCAGCTCGTTGCCTATTTTTGAATTGAGTCATTTGTTGTTGAGTTTTAGGAATTCTGTATAGATTCTGGATATTAATCCTGTATCAGATATATTATTTGAAAAATTTTTTTTGTCATTTTGTGGGTTGCCTTTTTACTCCAGATACTGTGTTTTGAAGGATAAAATGTTTTAATTTTTATAACATCCAGTTTGTCTATTTTTCCTTTTGTTGCCTGTGCCTTTGGTGTCATATCCAATAAATCATTGCTAAATCTAATGTCAAAACTTTTATGCTGTTTCCTTTTAAGGTATTTATAGTTTCAGGTCTTAAACTTAGGTCTTTGCTCCATTTTGAGTTAATTTTTTATATGGTGTTAAGTGAAGGTCCATATGTTTTGTGTGCACTTGTCCAGTTTTCCCAGCACCATTTGTTAAGACTGTTCTTTTGCTACTGAATGGTCTTGACACCCTTGTTAAAGCTCATCTGGGCCAGGCACAGTGGCTCATGCATGTAATCTCAGCACTTTTGGAGGCCTAGGTAGGAGAATCACTAGCTCCGGAGTTAAAGACCAGCCTGCGCAAGATAGCAAGACCCCATCTCTACAAAAATTTAAACGAATTAGCCAGGTGTAATGGTGCACCCTTGTGTTCCCAGCTACTCAGGAGGCTCTGGTAGGAGGATCATGTGAGCCCAGGGTGATTGAGGTTACAGTGAGCCAAGATTACGCCACTGTATTCCATCCTGGGTGACAAAGCAAGACCCTGTCCAAAAAAAAAAAAAGGAATCATTTGTCTTTGTAAATGAGGGTTTATTTCTGAGCTCTTCATTTTGTTTTATGGGTTTACATGTCTGTCTTTATGCTAGTACCACACTGGGTTTTGTTTTTTTTTTTTGGTTTGGTTTGGTTTTGGTTTTTAGACAGGGTCTTGCTCTGTTATCCAGGCTGGATCACAGTGGCATGATCTTGACTCACTGCAGCTTGTACCTCCTGGGCCTAAGCAATTCTCCTACCTCATCCTCCTGAGTAGTTGGGACTACAGGCTCGTGCCACCATACCCAGCAATTTTATTTTTTATAAAAACAAGTCTCACTGTGTTGCCCAGGTTGGCCTTGAACTCCTGATCTCAAGCAGTCCTCCCGCCTCAGCCTCCCAGAGTGCTGGGATTATAGGCATTAACCACTGTGCCTGATGTCCATACTGTTTTGATTACTATAGCTATATAGTAAGTTTTGAAATTGAAAAGTGTAAATTCTCCATCTTTGTTCTTTTTCAAAATTGTTTGGCTATCTAGGATGTCTTGGGATTCCATATAAATTTAGGATTTTTTTTTTTTGCAAAAACCACCAAATGGATTTTGATAGGGATTGTGTTGAATGTGTAAATGGCTTCAGATGGTATTGGTATTTTAACAATAAGTCTTCTAATCCATAGACATGAGATGTTGTATTAGTCCATTTTCATACTGCTATAAAGAAATACCTGAGACTGAGTAATTCATGAAGGAAAGAAGTGTAGTTATTTACAGTTCCACATGGCTGGGGAGGCCTTAGGAAACAGAATCGAGGTGAAAGGCAAAGAGGAAACAAGGACCTTCTTCACATGGCAGCAGGAGAGAGAACTGCAAGAGAGGAAACGTCAGTTGCTTATAAAACTATCAGGGCTTGTAAGAACTTCTATTATGAGACCAACATGGGGGAACCATCCTCATGATCCTGTCATCTCCCTCCCTTGACACATGGCGATTACAATTTGAGATGAGATTTGGACGAAGACACAGACCATATTGGATGTGTTACCATTTATGTCTTTAATTTAGTTCAACAACGTTTTGTAGTTTTCATTGTACGCCTTTCACTTTCTTGGTTAATTCCTAATTTTTTTTTTTTGAGCTATTGTTAATGGAATTATTTTTGTAATTTCCTTTGCAGAATGCCCATTGTTAGTATGTAGAAATGCAACTGATTTTTACATTTGATTTTGTATCCTGTTCTTGGTTGAATTCATTTATTCTGACACTTTTGTGTGGAATCTTTAGGGTTTTCCACAGGTAAGATCATGTAGTCTGTGAACAAAGATGGTTTTACTTCCTTCCCAATTTAGATGCCTTTTTGCTTTTTTCTTGCCTGATTGTTCTGACCTATGTTGAGTAAAACCGGCAGAAGTGGGTAGTCTTCCTTGCTTTGTTTGTGATCTTAGAGGAAAGCTTTCAATCTTTCATCATTGAGTATGATGTTAGCTATAGGTTTTTCATAGATGGCTTTTAGTATTATATTGAGGTGTTTTACTTCTGTTCTTAGTTTGTTGATTCTTTTCATCATGAAAGGATGTTGAATTTTGTCAGATGCTTTTTTTGCATCTATTCAGATGGTCATGTGGTTATTTTTCTTCATTCTGTTAATCTGTTTTTCATATGTTGAACCATCTGTGAATTTCATGAATAAATCCCACTAAGTCGTGGTGTGTATTTCTTTTAATGTGTAATTGAATTTGATATGCTTTTTTTTTTTTTTGAAACAAGAGTCTTGCTCTGTCACCCAGGCTGGAGTGCAGTGGTGCAATCTCAGCTCACTGCATCCTCTGCCTCCCGGGTTCAAGTGATTCTCCTGCCTCAGTCTCCCAAGTAGCTGGGATTACAGGAATGGGCCGCCACACCCAGCTAATTTTTTTGTGATTTTAGTAAAAACAGTTTAACCCTATTAGCTGGGGTGGGCTCAATCTCCTCGTGATCCACCTACCTTGGCCTCTCAGAGCACTAGGATTATAGGTGAGCCACCATGCCGGCCAGGCTTGCTAATATTTTGTGAAGGATTTTGCATCATTGTTCATAAGAATATTGTAGTTTTCTTATGGTGTCTTTGTCTGACTTTGATATCAGAGTAGTGCTGGTTTCATATATAAACACTTAGAAAGTATTCTCTTCAGGTTTTTAGAAAAGTTTGAGGATTGGTATTAGTTCTTTAAATGTTTGGTAGAGTTAACCACTGAAAGCCATCAGGTTCAAGGTTTTCCTTTGTTAGGTTTCGGGTTTTTTTTTTCTTTTTTTTTTTTTTTTTGAGATAGGGTCTCATTTGTTACCCAGGCTGGAGTACAGTGATATGAACACGGTTCTCTGCAGCCTTGACCTCCTGGGCTCAAGCAGTCCTCCTGCCTTAGCTTCCAAGTAGCCAGGACCACAGGCATATACCACTACATCCAGCTAATTTTTAAAGTAAAATAAAATTTAAAATTTTTTTATAGATACGGAGTCTTACTATCTTGCCCAGGGTGATCTGGAACTCCTGGTCACAAACCATCCTGCCACCTTGGCGTTGAGATTACAGGCATGAGCCACTATGCCTGGCCTAACAATTCTTTTAAATACATAAGTCTCTTGAATTATGTACAAAATAGAATATGGAGTTAGAAACCAAAGTTATACATAATACTAGCTCTTAGAATAAAAGTAAGTCATGTGAAAAACAAATAGTGTTTGCAGACCATTGTTATAATAGTACTAGTTGTTTCCACTGCCCATTTATTTACTTTTAAAAAAAAATTCATGTGGCTTCAAGTTACTATATAGTATTCTTTGCAGAGCATTTCCTTTTTTTGGAGACCGAGTCTTGGTCTATCACCCAGGCTGGAGTGTAATGGAGTGATCTTGGCTCATTGCAACCTCCACCTCCCGGGTTGAAGTGATTCTCCTGCCTCAACCTCTCGAGTAGCTGGGATTACAGGCACATGCCACCACACCCGGCTAATTTTTGTATTTTTAATAGAGACAGGGTTTCACCGTGTTAGCCAGGATGGTCTTGAACTCCTGACCTCATGATTCACCCGCTTCGGCCTCCCAAAGTGATGGGATTACAGGCATGAGCCACCTTGACATCCTCCCACCTCTGTTCCCCAAGTAGCTGAAACTATAGGCATGTGCCACAATGCTTTGCGAATTTTTAAAACTTTTTTGAAGAGATGGGGGTCTCACTTTGTTGGCCAGGCTGGTCTTGAATTCCTGGGTTCAAGTGATTCCCACCTCGGCCTTCCAATGTGCTGGGATCACAGACATGAGCCACCACACCCAGCCTGATTTCTTTCTCACTTTTGAAGGACAGTTTTCCCAGATAAGATTCATGGGTGACAACTTTCTTTTAGTTAGCACTTTAAATATGTTGCACTGTTGCCTTCTAGCCTCTGAAGTTTCAAGTGGGAAAGGTGCTTAAGTCTAATTGAGCATTCCTTGTATATAGTGAATCACTTCTTTCTTGTTGCTTTCATGTTTTCCTCTTTGTCCTTTAGAAAGTTTTTTTTTCTACTTTAGGTTCTGGGGTACATGTGTAGATCATACATGATTGTTGCATAGGTACATACATGGCAAGGTGGTTTGCCGCCTCCATCCCCGTCACCTATATCTGGCATTTCTCCCCATGTTATTCCTCCCCAACCTTCCCACCCTCTGCTGTTTCTCTCCTAGCCACCCCAACAGACCCCAGTGTGTGATGCTCCCCTCCCTGTGTCCATGTGTTCTCATTCTTCAACACCTGCCTATGAGTGAGAACATGCAGTGTTTGATTTTCTGTTCTTGTGTCAGTTAGCCAAGATGATAGTTTCCAGATTCATCCATGTCCCTACAAAGGACTCGAACTCATTGTTTTTTATGGCTACATAGTATTCCTTGATGTATATGTGCCACATTTTTGTTGTCCAGTCTATCATCGATGGGCATTTGGGTCTTTGCTATTATACACAGGGCTGCAATGAACATTCGTGTGCATGTGTCTTTATAGTAGAATGATTTATAGTTCTTTGGGTATATACCCAGTAATGAAAATTGCTAGGTCAAATGGAATTTCTATTTCTAGATCCTTGAGGAATCGCCACACTGTCTTCCACATGGTTGAACTAATTTACACTCCCACCAACAGTGTAAAAGTGTTCCTTCCTATTTTTTCACATCCTCTGCAGCATCTGTTGTCTCCAGATTTTTTAATGAGCGTCATTCTGACTGGCGTGAGGTGGTATCTCAGTGTGGTTTTGATTTGCATTTCACTAATGACCAGTGGTGGTGAGCATTTTTTCATATGTTTGTTGGCCTCATATATGTCTTCTTTTGAAAAGTGTCTGTTCATATCCTTTGCCCACTTTTGAATGGGTTTGTTTGTTTGTTTCTTGTAAATCTGTTTTTGTTCTGTAGATTCTGGATATTAGCCCTTTGTCAGATAGGTAGATTGTAAATTTTTTTTCCCAATCTGTTGGTTGCTGGTTTACTCTAATGATTCTTTCTTTTTCTGTGCAGAAGCTGTGGAGTTTAATTAGATCCCATTTATCTATTTTGGCTTTTGTTGCCAATGCATTTGGTGTTTTGGTCATGAAGTCCTTGCCTATGACTATGTCCTGAATGGTTTTGCCTAGGTTTTCTTCTAGGGTTTTTATGATGTTAGGTCTTATGTTTAAGTCTTTAATGTATCTAGAGTTAATTTTAGTGTAAGATATAAGGAAGGGGTCCAGTTTCAGCTTTCTGCACATGGCTAGCCAGTTTTCCCAACACCATTTATTAAACAGGGAATCCTTTCCCCATTTCTTGTTTTTGTCAGGTTTGTAAAAGATCAGATGGTTGTAGATATGTGGCATTACTTCTGAGGCCTCTGTTCTGTTCCATTGGTTTATATCTCTGTTTTGGTACCAGTACCATGCTCTTTTGATTCCTGTAGACTTGTAGTATAGTTTGAAGTCAGGTAGCTTGATGCCTCCAGCTTTGTTCTTTTTGCTTAGGATTGTCTTGGCTATGCGGGCCCTCTTTGGTTCCATATGAAGTTTAAGGTGGTTTTTTCCAGTTCTGTGAAGAAGGTCATTGGTAGCTTGATGGAGATAGCATTGAATCTATAAATTACTTTGGGCAGTATGGCCATTTTCACGATATTGATTCTTCCTAACCATGAGCATGGAATGTTTTTCCATCTGTTGGTGTCCTCTCTTATTTCCTCGAGCAATGGTTTGTAGTTGTCCTTGAAGAGGTCCTTTACATCCTTTGTTAGTTGTATTCCTAGGTATTTTATTCTCTTTGTAGCAATTGTGAATGGTAGTTTGCTCTTGATTTGGCTCTCTTTTAGTCTATTATTGGTGTATAGGAATGCTTGTGATTTCTGCACATTGATTTTGTATCTTGAGACTTTGGCGAAGTTGCTTATCAGTTTAAGGAGATTTTGGGCTGAGACAGTGGGGTCTTCTAAATATACAATCATGTCGTCTGCAAATAGAGACATTTGACTTCCTCCTTTCCTAATTGAATACCCTTTATTTCTGTTTCCTGCCTGATTGCTCTGACTAGAACTTCCAATACCATATTGAATAGGAGTGGTAAGAGAGGGCATCCTTGTTTAATGCCAACTTTAAGGGAGTTTTGTCTGGAGAATTTTTTTTGAGTTCATCTTTTTTGGAGTTCTTTGAACTTCTTATATGTTTATATACATATTCTTGTATTTCATCAAATTTGGGGAGTTTTCAGCCATTATTTTTTCAAATATTCTGCTTCCCTTCTCCTTCTGAAAGTTTCCGTAATGCATATATAGGTCTACTTTTGATATACAGGTCCCTGAGGTTCTGTTCACTTTAATCTTTTTTTTTAATCTTAGACTTGATAATTTCCCTTGTGCTTACCTTCAAGTTTGCTGGGTTTTTTTGCCTTCTCAAATACTTTTGAATTCTTCTTGTGAATTTTTCATTTTAGTTATTGTACTTTTCAACTACAGAAATTTTTTTTTTGTTTTAGGTTTTCTATTTCTTTGTTGATATTTTCATTTTGTTCATATATTTTTTTTTTTTTTTACTCTTTCATTGTTTTCCTTTAATTTCTTAAGCATCTTTAGAAGAATTGTTTTGAAGTGTTTGTCTAGTAGTAGATCTGCCATCAGGGTTTTTTTTTTCAGGGATAGTTTCTGTCGATTTATTATTTTCCTTTGAATGGGTGTTCTTATTTCCTTGTAGGCCTTCTTTTTGTTGAACACTGCATGTTTGAATGTAATATGGTAATTCTGGAAATCAGATATTCCCCCTTCCCCAGCAATTACTTTAGATTTTTTTGTTTTGTTTTGTTTTGTTTTTGATTCTTGTCGGCAGTCTCTGCCAAGGATCCACCTGAGGTGTACACTTTAGGTTTTCTCAGGTCTTTCCCTGGGCGTATGTACTCACTTTAAAATTTTCTTGTACATGCAGTTGTTTTTGAATGACCTGGTCTTTAATATCTGACCCCCAAAGGGAGAGAAAAAGAAAAATGAGTGTGGGCTGGAGGCCAGGCCAAGTGTGAGGGAGTGGAGGGGAAAGAGTGCTCACCACTTGGAAATACCCTATAAGTCACTTCGGCCAGAGGGGTAGGGACTGAGGTTTGCAACTACGAGGGCAGATGCAACAACAGTGGCCACTTCTATATCTGCACCTTGTGACCAGGAGCAGCAACCAGGGATCGCTAGCATTTAGGACAAAGTCTGTTTTGCCTACCCAGATACCCCCAAGCTGTGTACATGTTGTTCCAGGAACACAAGCCAACCATGAGCTTATGGAAGGGTGGGTAGTGGCACTGCTACTGTGCTGAGAGCTAAAATGGATGGAAATTAAACACATTTGACCATCCCATTATTCCCCTGGAAATTGCAAGGCTTCAGTAGACTCCAGAGTTCCCAAGTAGTTACATCAGACAGATTTTGTCAGTGCAGTTGTTGTCTATGTAGGGAGACAGATTCCTGGTGCTTAGTACTTCACCATCCTCCCTTAATCCTCTGCAAAGTATTTTAAACAGGAAGTTATAATGCACAAAGCAGTTTTTCTGATTCTCCCTTATTTTTATGTTATAAAAAAAAAGTTGCTATGAAAATTTTTCACTTGAATAATCAAGCATGCATTATTCTTTTTTTAGTGTGCTGGAATTGATGTTCGTCTATGTGATGTTGGTGAGGCCATCCAAGAAGTTATGGAGTCCTATGAAGTTGAAATAGATGGGAAGACATATCAAGGTATGTTCTTTTAAAATGTATCTTATTTTGCAATTGAGTTTTACAAACTATTGCTGAGTGCTTTCTTTGGGTTAGCTGCTTCATGTTTATATCTTGGAAATACAAGGAAAGAAAATGGGGAAATGACCTGCTTAGAGCATGGTAGGAGTACTGCTATAACTAACTGGAAACTATTGCCAAGCCACTCTGTTAGTGATAAATACCTGAGGAATTATCCTAGGGCAGCCAAGATTTGGAGCAGATTTTCTGTGACTAGTCAAATCAAGACTGAGAGAAGCCAGGACTCTTGCCATTGATGACTCCTCATTGTGATTTTTTGATGTTGTTTTTTGGTTTGTTTGTTTTTTAAAGACAGCATCTCACTCTGTCATCCAGGCTGGAGCTCAGTGGTGCAGTCATGGCTAACTGTAGCTTCAACCTCCCAGGCTTAAGCAATCTTCCTACCTTAGCCCTCCCAGGTATCTGGGACTACAGGTGTCCAGTCCTTTCTTTTTAAGACAGAGTCTGCTGGGCATGGTGGTTCATGCCTATAATCCCAGCACTTTGGGAAGCCGAGGCAGGTGGGTCATCTGAGGTCAGGAGTTCAAGACCAGCCTGACCAACATGGTGAAACCCCATCTCTACTAAATACAAAAAAACCTAGCTGGTCGTGATGGCACACAACTGTAATCCCAGCTACTTGGGAGGCTGAGGCAGTAGAATCACTTGAACCTGGGAGGCAGAGGTTGTAGTGAGATGAGATTGTGCTATTGCACTGCAGCCTGGGTGACTGAGTGAGACTTCATCTGAAAAAAAGACAGTCTTCCTCTGTTGTCCAGGCAGGAGTACAGTGGCATGGTCACAGCTCAACCCCCTTGCTCAAGCACTCCACCTCTCAGCCTCCGGAGTGGCTGGGACTACAGATGTGCAGTATCACTCCTGGCTAATTTTTTTATTTCTTTAAAAATAGAGACGGGTTTCACCATATTGCCCAGGCTGATCTCAACTTGCAGTCCAGGTTCAGGTGATCGTCCGCCTGCCTTGACCTCCCAAAGTGCTGGGATTACAGGCATTAACCACTGCTCCCAACCCAGTCTTATACTCTTAAACAATAGCTAGTCTTTCTTTGCAGCTGTTTCATTTCCTTACTTTTTTATTTCTATTTCTCTTTATTTCTAATATATATGCTTTTTTATATCAAGATATTCTGACATTTCAATGTTCTTCATGGTTTCATTTCCCTTCCTCCTGCCTAGACTCTGTCAGCAGCTTTAATTCTTCTCTCTCATCTGTATCTTTAACTTCCTTATTACTTTGATTTTCAGATAGTCTCTTAAAGATCTCTAATCCTGTGAACACAAGTGCAAAGCAGTTTGTTTGTTTATTTATTTGTTGAGACAGAGTCTCACTCTGTTGCCCAGACTGGAATGCAGTGGTGCATTTTTGGCTCACTACAAGCTCAGCCTCCCAGAGTAGTTGGGATTACAGGTGTGTGTCACTATGCCCGGCTAATTTTTGGATTTTTTTTTTTCCCATGTTGGTCAGGCTGATCTTGAACTCCTGACCTGAGATGATCTGCCCACCTTGGCCTCCTAAAGTGTTGGGGTTACAGGCATGAGCCACTATGCCCAGCTCAGAATACTCTTGATGTTACTCACTTAGGTAGGAGGTGTGGCGTAGTGAAGAAAACATACTTTAGGTTCAGGCAGTTTTTACTTGGAGTCTTAGATAAATCCTATAACCTGAATACCCAAGTTTGTTGACTGTAATAGGATTAATGGCATCTAGTTTATTTTGAGAAATGTAAATTATATGATGGTGCTGGAATTTATTAAGTATTCAACAATTATTTGTTATTCTTTCCCCTTCTCACCTCAGTTCTGGGATTAGTGCCACAAATACAATGCTTATTCAGGTTCTTCTCAAATTGTTCTTCATATCTCAGGAAATTACTTACCTGATAAGAAAAATACAAGCCTAACACTGTTTAACTTTTTTGCCATGTTGCATAAAGAAAACCCCACCTTCTCCCTATTCTTATGTCTTTTTCTCTCTTCTTCAAGGAAGAAATATTCTTTTATGTAGCATTTTCTTTTTTTTATTTTTTAAATTGTTAATTCAAACACTGCTTTAAGGATCTTTTCAGTGTAAATCCTCCCACCTCCTTTGAGATACCATCTTATTACCCCTTTTCTCTACATACTCAGCCTTTCCCCAGTGGCTCCTCTCAGTGTTAAAGCATGTGTGGAAGAGAATAAAAATCCTAGCACTAGATATTCTTCCATGACTCACATATTCTACTTTTGGCTTTTACTTACTGTTATGTGAAATTTTTAGAATTCATTTCTACATTAAGACATGGCTTAAATTTACTATGTTTAAGGGTGAACATACTTTTCTTTGTGTCCTAGTCAAAGCCATAGGAGAGCCAAAAGATTTTTAAAGGCTAGAATTTAGAATATCCGATTTCCAGTTTGCTTTTCTTTGGAAAATGTTTTGTCTAGTTCTTTAAATAGCTTATAACCAGTTTTAGGACTTGCTGCTTCTATTAACACTTTATGAGCTCCCCAGAAGAAAGATTCTTACCCCAAAGGAAGCTGAGATTAAGAGCATAAATGCCAAGTTAATTTGAGGAATTTATGGGTCTGGAACATGGTCCTTCTGATTTCTAGGTTCACTGCTAGAATGAACAGAATCTATTAGTTCCAAATTCGTGACTCTTAGGTCAACTTGGAGTATAAACTGTAGTAGTCTGCTTGAAGACTACTTCTAGAATGAGTTATTTCTCTTTTTTGAGAATTTGCTGAAATTTTTGTAAATTCTGACACCAGCCAACACATATGCCAGTGTCCTCTCTTTTTCCTTTCATTTTCTCCTAATTCTACAACTTGTTTGGTATGTGGTCTGCCTTTCAAGGTATAGTAGGTGACAATTTGACTTGATGTTTATAGTCACTACATAATAATTCCAGCCTGCAACATTGGGATTTTTTTTTTTTTTTTTTTTTTTTTAAGACGGAGTTTTGCTCTTGTTGCCCAGGCTGGAGGGCAGTGGCATGATTTCAGCTCGCTGCAACCTCTGCCTCCTGGGTTCAAGCGATTCTCCTACCTCAGGCTCCCGAGTAGCTGGGATTACAGGCATGTGCCACCACACCCGGCTAATTTTGTATTTTTATTAGAGACTGGGTTTCTCCTTGTTGGTCATGCTGGTCTTGAACTCCCAACCTCAGGTGCTCCGTCTGCCTCAGCCTCCCAAAGTGCTGGGATTACAGGCGTGAGCCACAGCGCCTGGCCGCAACATTGGTATTTTTCGTATCTATCCTCTTACCTCTTCCACTAAGCAAATGTAACATTTAGGTTCCATTATTTCATTGCCCCTCTTTTGATGCCTGTTATTGTATTGATCAGGGTTCTTAGTTTGAGGCAAAATCCATTTTAATAGTTTAAGCGGAGAGGATATGAAAAAATCATGATACTAGGAAGATGAAGAAATGAACTCTGTTGAACATTCAGAAACAAATAAAAAAAGCACATAGCACAACTGGGCCATCAAAGGAGTGCCTTAATCTCCTTTCATCAGGAAGCCGTAGAATTAAAAAGTGATTGTTACAAATTACTGGCCCCAGAATTAGCCTGTGCTCTTACAATCTGCATAAGTAAAAAATGAATTCCCGTGTACCTTCATTCTTCTGTATAACTAACATGTTAGGTTGGTATGGCTGAGAAACTTTCTTAAAAAATGATTGGCTTGTAAGGGTCAGTTTGCAAGATTTGAATTTTACAATAAGCTAGTTATTTGTCAACCTAAATAACAAACAGAGAGAGGCTCTCTAAAAGAAAATTATGTTTGTTTGGAACTAGAGCATTGCAGTGGGAATGCCATAGGAAACTTGTGCATATTCAGGGAGGTAAAGAAGGCAGAGGTTTTTAAAGACAAAAATGAGGGTGACATAATTGTCCTTGGCTCCAAAGACTGATACTAAGAGTGACGCCAGTCCGAGGTTGGGTGAGTAGTTGTTGGGCAGATGTCCTTGAAGAAGTTTTTTGGTTTTTTTCCCCAGAAGTATTTTTTTTGTGGAAGGTTGCAGTGGTCTTTGTGCAAGATTATGGTTTTGGTAGTCATCTTCACTATCAGGCATACAAACACGAGAACTCTCTCTTCATGGCTTTCCCTAGCTCTGTTTGTCAGAGTTTTCTTAACATTACCGCCTCCATTTTAAGTCTGACAACTTTCACACATTTATATAAGAAGGTTTTTGTGAAGAGCGAATTGAGTTTTCTTGCTACCCCACTAAGTTTGTAACATACTTGTTCATTGCTTCAGACGACTTAATTCCTCTCTAGAAGAAAGGTAGCTCATACTGAGGATTCTAGCACTATAAACCTAGTTTTTTGTTTTTTGTTTTTGCCTGAACATAGCAGTATACTGTTCCAAGACAGGCCTAGATTTTTTAAGCCCCTCCCCCTGCCTTGTTTTTGAGATTGGCCTCCCTCTGTCACCCAGGCTGGAGTACAGTGGTGCCACCCAGTTCACTGCAGCCACCGCACATGGCCATTTTAAGCCCTTTTTTAAAATTTGAAGTAGTAACAAAATATACAAGGCATAAAAACTCAACTTCTCAATTGCAAAAGCTGTGTAACTTCACTCATCAAGAAATAGAATATCACCAGCATTCCAGAAGACATTCAGTCTCATTTTCTTAGTCCGTTTTGTGCTGCTACAGCAGAATACCTGAGACTAGGTAATTTATAAAGAACAGAAATTGATTTCTCACAGTTCTGCAGGCTGGGAAGATTGAGGGACCGGCATCTGGTGAGGGTCTTCTTGCTGCATCATCCCATGGCATTAGGCAGAAGAGCAATGAAAAGTGTGAGAGAGAGAGCAAGAAGTGATCAAGCTCAGGCTGGGCGTGGTGGCTCATGCCTGTAATCCCAACCCTTTGGGAGGCTGAGGTGGGCAGATCATGAGGTCAGGAAATTGAGACCATCCTGGATAACAGAGTGAAACCCAATCTCTACTGTAGTCCCAGCTACTCAGGAGGCTGAGGTAGGAGAATTGCTTGAACCCAGGAGGCAGAGGTTGCAGTGAGCTGAGATCGCACTGCTGCAGTCCAGCATGGGCAACAGAGCGAGACTCAGTCTCAAAAAAAAAAAAAAGGTGGTAACTCGTTCTTTATAAAGAACCCACTCCTGAGATAATAGAGAGTGGTGCCTCCATGGCCCAAACTCCTCCCATTAGGTCCCACCTCCCAACACCATCACATTGGGGATGAGGTTCCCAATACATGAACTTTGGGGGATACATTCAAACCATAGCACCAATACACTGCTTTCCATTTACAGCAGCCTGCCTTTAGTGAGCCACTATCTTGGCTTGTGGGGTCAATTTGCCAAGTCTTAGAGAACTGGTGATGATGTCTGAATTTTAAAATGTATTTAGCTTATCAGCACTGTAAGTATGGAAGGATTTGCATTTGCTTTTCTTTATGTCTTTGCTACCCGATGATGCATCTCTAAACAGTAGTTTTATTATGCTTAATTTTGAACTATTATAAATATGGAATTGTATAGTATGCATGTAATTTTGCCTTTTTCTGCTCATTTTGTCTTATTCCAGTTGTTTTAACTGGAAAATAAAACTTCTAGCAGTTTGATTCCAGTTGTTAAATGTATTCCTAGCTTTTTATTTTTATTGTTGAATATTATTCCATTGTATGAATGTGCCACAATCTGTATTTCTGTCATTGCTGTCCAGACAGTGGGGTTGTTTAGATTTTCTTTCTTAATTATTGTGTCTCAGGCACATAGATTTTCTTTTTGAACATTTGAAATGTTGATATAAAGTTTTATAATACTGTCATCTTAACAGTATCTTTCACATTATTTTTTGGTCCATAACAATACAAATATGTATTTTTTATGTTTCTAATTATTTGTGTACACGGCATTTTTTTTTTTGTTAACAGTACCCCTTAGATGACCTCCCTTACGCCCTTAATCCTGTAATTCTTTCTTCCATCCTCCTAGTATTTTTGTTTTGTTTTGTTTTTGAGATGGATTGTCACTCTGTTGCCCAGGCTGGAGTACAGTGTCATGATCTTGGCTCACTGCAACCTCCATTTCCCTGGTTCAAGTGATTCTCCTGCCTCAGCCTCCTGAGTAGCTGGAATTTATAGGTACCCACCACTACACCCAGCTAGTTTTATATTTTTAGTAGAGACAGGGTTTCGCCATGTTGGCCAGGCTGTTCTCAAACTCTCAGGTGATCTGCCTGCCTCAGCCTTCCAAAGTGCTGATATTACAGGCATGAGCCACAGCACCCAGCCTATTTCTAGTATTAATAACACTGCAACTAACTACATTTTATATTCCACTAGATGCCAGTTTATATTTAACTACCTTAATGTAAGGTTATTTAGTAGAGCCATATCTGGTTTTTGAATAAATGCTTGAACTCTGTACCAAAATATAAGAGATCTGTTTTTGCTTCTTGAGATCCCGAATAACTTCTATTTCCCTATTTTTTTAATAACAGTGAAACCAATCCGTAATCTAAATGGACATTCAATTGGGCAATATAGAATACACGCTGGGAAAACCGTGCCGATTGTGAAAGGAGGAGAGGCAACAAGAATGGAGGTATGCGTGGCACTTTTTGCTCCCATGGAGGACATTTTCCCTTCCAAGCAAAAGGTCATGATAGTTAAGTGTATAGTTATACTGACCAGAATTAGCTTATCATCCATATTCACCCTGCCAGGAACTGGGCCATTTGAATAATGTGGAAATTGTGTATAGTCAGCCCTAAATCAGTTGTGAAAATTGGGTTTGTGAAAGGATTATTTATTCAACATTTAATGAGTATTTTTTGAGCATTCCCAGGTGCCAGTTTCTTTTTAGTAGGTTCTACGGGTAGAGATGTGAACAAAATTCATAGAGGGAGGCAGAAAGACCAAAAAGTGCTAAGGAGATAAAGCAGGGCAAGGCTAGATAAGGACTGCCAGAGGCTATTTCATCTTGCTACTTACATCAGGTAGGGACTTCAAGAGATGGTGATTGTTGGGCAGGCTTGGTGACTTAGGCCTATTAATCCCAGCACTTTGGGAGGCCAAGGTGGGCAGATCACCTGACATCAGGAGTTCAAGGCCAGCCTGGCCAACATGGTTAAACCCCGTCTCTACTAAAAATACAAAAAATTAGCTGAGCATGGTGGCACGTGCCTGTAGTCCCACCTACTCGGGAGGCTGAGGCTAGAGAATCACTTGAACACAGGAAGTGGAGGTTGCAGTGAGCTCAGATCACACCACTGCACTCTGTCCTGGGCAACAGCGCTAGACTCCATCTCAAAAAAGAAGAGAGAGAGAGAGAGAGATGGTAATTACGGTTCATTCTGAATTTTTCTTCTCTCCCCTTGACCCTTACTTATTTTTAAGGAAGGAGAAGTATATGCAATTGAAACCTTTGGTAGTACAGGAAAAGGTGTTGTTCATGATGATATGGAATGTTCACATTACATGAAAAATTTTGATGTTGGACATGTGCCAATAAGGTGAGAGACGATTAATTTTATGTGGCTAACAAGCATCTCTTCTGAGTTAACAGCATTTTAAAACAATGTGACATACATTTTTAAAACGTATATTCATGAATGTAAAGTTCTATAGCCCAACAATAAGAAAAAAATTAGCTTGTTAAACATTTTAACTGAGAGTAAAAACTACACACACACACACACACCTGTTCTCTTCAAGTCTGGTTTCTGATAATCATAAATGTCAGAGATTATTTTGTTAGCATTCCTAGGTTTTTTTCTTAATATTTTCCCTTTGGTAAACTTCCATTTACAATGTCTTTCAGTTTATATTGAATTTTTTTAACATTTGGAGAAGATGATTGAAGTCTGGATTTACATCTTTTATATGCAAGTTGTAGAGCTTCCTACACACAAAAGGAAATTTCCATGATAATACCATGTAGCTAAGTCTGTACTGGGAATGTAACACACATGCACAGACACGTAAACACAATGAGATGGCCACCAGCTGGTTTCCTATTCAGCTGCCATCTATAATTAGGTATGGGCTATTCTACATTCTGGCTTTTGATTATTGAAAGAGCAACAACAAATATTTTTGGACTTCAACTACAAAGACACAGCTAAGGTTTGGGCTTTTCTTAATGAGGGAAATGAATTTGTAATTCTCTAGCCAATAGTTAATCTTGGATTTTCTCCTCTTAGGCTTCCAAGAACAAAACACTTGTTAAATGTCATCAATGAAAACTTTGGCACCCTTGCCTTCTGCCGCAGATGGCTGGATCGCTTGGGAGAAAGTAAATACTTGATGGCTCTGAAGAATCTATGTGACTTGGGCATTGTAGATCCATATCCACCATTATGTGACATTAAAGGATCATATACAGCCCAATTTGAACATACCATACTGTTGCGTCCAACATGCAAAGAAGTTGTCAGCAGAGGAGATGACTATTAAACTTAGTCCAAAGCCACCTCAACACCTTTATTTTCTAAGCTTTGTTGGAAAACATTATACCAGAATTAATTTGCAACATATCTGTTTTAACAGTGGACTCATGTAATACTTTCATCCATGTTTAAAAAAAAAAAAAGAAGGAAATTGATCAAAGGTAAACCGTCTAATGTGATTAACCAAGGAAAACGCTTTCAGGACTTTTAAATGTTAACTGTTTTCCCCTTCCTGTCTAGGAAAATGCTATAAAGCTCAAATTAGTTAGGAATGACTTATACGTTTTGTTTTGAACACCTAAGAGATACTTTTTGAATATTTATATTGCCATATTCTTACTTGAATGCTTTGAATGACTACATCCAGTTCTGCACCCATACCCTCTGGTGTTGCTTTTTAACCTTCCTGGAATCCATTTTCTAAAAAATAAAGACATTTTCAGATCGGAGAGCTACATCTCAATGTCTGTGGTTATAATTCTGGACAGGATAGATATCTAAACTTAACGTAGAGAAATGCAGAGAGATTTATCTGAAATGTAGGCCTCTACACAGAGACTCTTCTGGCATAGTGGCTAAAACAAGATCTACACATGCATAAAGAGGGACAATCATCTTTTCTTAATAAATATACAGCTTTAGGAATATTTCGCCATTCTCTATAGGACGGATTAGTCCTTGTCTTTTTTTCCCCTGACATTGGAAAGATGTACTAACTGAAACATGACTTAGTAGGAACATTGTGCCAACTCGAAACCTTGATTTAGTAAAAATCTCAATGTTTAGATCCTTTGTCCAGTGACAGTACTTATCAGGGAATGTATTCAGCTTGCTCAGAAAACTAAAAGAGCATTAAAGCCATGAAAGCAAAGAAGAAAAAAAACTTTCCATGTTTGGATCTTGTTCTAGTTAGAAAAATTAAATTGAAATTATTTGGCTTTTTCATTCATGAGGCAAATGCCTTAGTACCTTGCCCTTTGACAGGTTTGTATTCTTCACATTACTAGTGGTATTTCAGGAAGCGAGGTTACAGTTACTTTCCTTTTAGCGGCTAAGTGTATTAAGTTGAATGTAACGATGATAATATTAACTTGTTTGAACTGAGGCCCACTACTGATTCTTTAAGCAGTTGCTTGAATTCTTATATGTAAATAATTTTATGGGAATGTTCCATCATAATTTCTAAATTGTTTATATACCAAGGTAGCCTTAATTTGTGTATGTTTCAGTACAATGAGATTTTATTGCCTCTGGGATGCTGTTTAGTTTGTGTTTTGTTGAAAGTTTTTATCATAGGAAGAGAAACCTATGACTTCTGTACCTAGATCATGTGTTACATTAAAAAGCTGCTCTTTCAGCATTAGAGCTATAAATGAATGTTATCTTGTGGGGAAACAAACTAGTTTTTAGCTGTATGAGCTGTTTATTATGGTGCTAATGTTCAATAGCCACATTTTACTAATTTCTCCATTTTCTGTGATGCTGTGGCTAGCAGCAGAGCTCACCAGTTCATGCCTGGACATACTGTCAGGGCTGGGCCCTCCAGCTAGCTCCTTTGGGGTTGAGTCCGTATCTTTTTGATGTGGAAGTATAAGTATCTTGATTTCTAAACCCAGGAATTTTAGAATTGGCCTTTATGAGTGAAGAGACTTTTGGAGCTTTTAAAGATCTTGGCAGCCGTGATCTCAAACCAATTATGAGCTCCAAGCCCCCTTCCCAGGTAACTGTTGGGAGCAATGGCATCACTGTATGCCCTTGTAATGGCTGGAAGGGACATGATCTTGTAAATAGGAAAGCTGTCACTTAAAATTGTATTGTTTGCATATTAGCCATGTATCTCTTAAAATTTTGTTATGTTACAATGATGTACCTTATTGGCAACAGATTATTAGTTTGATGTTTAACAATAGTGCCTTTAGTAAATTATTTTACAACCAAAACATGTTGTTTTTTGTTAGATCAACTTAGCAGAATGTAGATGTCCATGTTGAGCTTAATATACATAGTAAGAAATCTTAAGTTTCTGTTTATTGTTTAGGTTTTAATTTTATCATTGGTATTTTGAGATGTTTTTACAGCCAGTTTAGGTTCATACTAAAATTGAATGGAAAGTACTACAGATTTCCCATGTGGCCCAATAACATCCCCCTCCTTCAGGCCCCCCCCATGGGTGTTAGTTTTAATGGATTACAAAGTAAAGGGTTAAGTCACTTTCTTATATATTTTTGTATTGAAATAAGTACAAGCAACTATACCATTACAAATAACATAGTTGATGACTTTTTAAGAATTCCATTAAAATTACATGCTAAAATGTAAAAATGACATTTTTTAAATAGTCCTTGAAATTAGAAAAGGCTAGACTCCAGTAACTTGACCACATAAATTTTTAATGAGGTATTAAATGTGTAACAGTTGAGGTAACAATTTGTATAGGTATTACGAACAATTTTGAACATAGCCAGTTATTTTTGGCACAAATGATTTGTCTGTTCAGTGATAAAGTCTCATTGCACTTCACTATCAGCTAACAACTTATTTTGTGAAACTTAAGAAAAATTTACTGGTAGAGATCTCTTTCAAGTCTGTACTTAAAGATGAACTAGTGGTGAACAGCATTCTACAAGATAGTATCTTTCACTAAGACTTCAACCTGCAAATAAACCCACTTTAAAAAAAGGATAGGCCAGGCGCAGTGGCTCATGCCTGTAATCCCAGCACTTTGGGAGGCTGAGGCAGGCAGATCGTGAAGTCAGGATTTCCAGACCAGCCTAGCCAACATAGTGAAAGCTTGCCTCTACTAAAAATACAAAAAATTAGCCTGTCATGGTGGCGGGTGCCTGTAATCTTAATTACTCAGGAGGCTGAGGCAGGAGAATCACTTGAGCCCAGGAGGCGGAGGTTGCAGCTAGCTGAGTTTGTACCACTGTGCGACAGCGGGACTCCATCTCAAAAAATAAATAAATAAATGATCTTCCTGTGGTTACCACTGAGCTTAGATATTATATAGCTGGTCTACAGAGATTCATTAATTCTACCCTCTCCGAATAAGATAAGTTAGCAGCAACAGTACTTTAAAGAGTGACTCACACTGTATTTTTTTAATGCAAGTTTAGATAGCTTTTAATTCCTTTTTAAATTCTCGGGGCCAGTGTTGAAGAGACACATAATCCTAACAAGAGTAAGTAATCAAGCTTTAGTTATTTAGGAGAATGAGATGCTAGACATATAGTCCAGTAGCCAATTTTTAAGTTACCTTTTCTGCCCTATAATTACTTCTCTTTAAGACTCTTACTCCTTTGAACTAAAAAATATATATGAAGTTTTAATGTCATCAGACATTACAAAATGAACTCATGCCCAAGGTAAACTATTTGAATAACATCATATGCTGGTTTGCTGAATTCAGACATTTTATGATTGCTTTATTAGACTACTGCACAACTGTTTGCTGCCAGACCAAAATCATAAATCCCAGCCATCATTTTTTTTCATGTCCATAGTTCCAAAGTTCACTTAAATATACTATTTGTAAAGCTGCCATTTTCATGTATAGTTTGACTATGCCAAGTAAAGAGCAATTACTAAAACAATTTTGGGGTTACATTAACCAAAATCATGTCTATTACAAGGCCTATTAACACACAAAGCCTCAGAAATACCAATGAGTGTGACTGATGAATATTTAGGTGATACCTTGATATGTCACTTCAGTAACTCCAAGGGGCAAGGGAATTTCAATATACAAATGGCCTGAAAGAAAGACTATTAGTGACCGAAGTAGAGTCTAATTTTCCATCTATTAATTTGTATACAAAATAGCTGAAAAAGATAAGTGTATACAAAATGATGCCATCTGAACTTCGTTGGTAGAAGACTGCACAAATTCATAATCTGAGTCCATTAAGACATAAAAATATGAAAGAGTTAACATCAGTCTGAGGTAAACACCAAAAGTTTAAAACTCCAAGTATTTGAAAAAAATATAGTTACCTTCAGTTGATATACACATATTTATACTTTGGGGGAAAAAAAGTTTTGTTGTAGTTAGTTACAAAATGTATAAATGTAGTGTGCACTGATTCATAAGAAAAAAATAAGCTTAAAATGGTACAACAGCCCTTTTTAAAAGAATATATATAAATCACAGAAAGCCCCAATGTCTTTGGATCAGCTAAGGATTTCATTAGAAGAAGTATCAGCTTCTTCATTGGGATGTTGGCTCCCGGACAGGAGCTCTGGAGGCAAAAGTTTAGAATGTCCATTCTCAGCAACTCGTTGGGTATAAAACAAGATATAAGCTTGGGCCTTGCATACTTCATCCATAGTGCACATGCTTAGCTTGGAATCATTGCAGTGTACCCAGAACCCTAGAGCAAAGCACAGAAATATGTTTATATAGGGACTTTAGGAAATTCTAGTATGAAAGGCACTAAGTTTGAGTGAAAATTAAACTTTTTCTCAAGGGAAAATAATTTTCTAGCCAATTTATTTTTCTTTTATTTAATGAGAAATATAAACTGGGCAGTATTACCCTGGAATTATCTACCTTTATTTTAGAATTAGCTTGAAGTTTACAGCAAGCATCTGACTGATTAGAGTACCTGACACTATTCCTTGTGTAAACCTACCAGTTAATGCTTTTGCCACTAATAATACAGGCTGATCATCCCTCATTCCAAAATCTGGCCGGGCATGGTGGCTCACACCTATAATCCCAGCACTTTGGGAGGCTGACATGGGCAAATCACCTGAGGTCAGGAGTTTGAGACCAGCCTGGCCAACATGGTAAAACTGTGTCTCTACTAAAAATACAAAAATTCAGGTGTGGTGGTACACACCTACAATCCCAGCTACTCTGGAAGCGGAAGTTGCGGTGAGCCAAGATCACGCTGCTGCACTCTAGCCTGGGTGACAGAGTAAGACTGTCTCAAAAAAAAAAAAAAAAAAAAAGCAAATAGTATACAACTAACTTGGCAGCTTAATGTTGAGTTGCCTTGGTGGATTAGCTGGGCTTCTTATCCTCACTTCTCTTTTTCTGTTTGGGGTGTGTGGGGTTGAAGGTGGGAGATGGAGGTTCATCCTTTGTTCAACAGTAAGTATCAAACGGGGAGGTAAGGCTGGGAATGGTGGCTCACACCTATATTCCCAGCATTTTGGAAGGTTGAGGTGGGCATATCACGAGGTCAGGAGGTCAAGATAAACCTGGCTATCACAATGAAAGACCATCTCTACTAAAAATACAAAAAATTAGTTGTGGCACGAGGGTGTAGTCCCAGCTACTGAGGAGGTGAAGGAAGGAGAATCACTTGAACCCAGGAGGCAGAGGTTGCAGTGAACCGAGGTCACACCATTGTACTACAGCCTGGTGACAGAAAAAGGTTGGGGAGGGCAGGGGGAAAAAAATGAAATCTCAATCTAATCACTTTTGCTATAACTATCCTAGAAGGCAGAAAATAAAAGTGAGTTTTGTATGTTAAACTTGAACGCAGTGTTTGTTCCAAGTATCTGTGATCCCCCAGTTCATTAGGTGCCCTATTTCTTTAACAAAATTAACTGAGGTAAGCCATAGGATCTGCTCTTCAAAGTGTGTCTTCAACACTCACTTTTAGTTAGCAACAAGACTATCCTCGTTACTATGTCCCTCCAGCCCTTAGTCAAAAGTACTACAAAACGAGAATATATTTGATGCATAAACTCTGATTTTTTAATACCTCCAGAGGTATTCTCCCTAAGAAAATAAGTGGTCCAGTAGCTTTATGATTTAGTAGTCAATTTAGAAATCATTAAAGGCTGAACTCCAGCTTCCAAGATAAAAACTTTTTCTTATCCATACCTCCTTCAGAATTATAGCAGTAGGCAGTGTAGTGCCCTGAGCCAAATCCTTTCCCATGGTGCATCACCACCGCAGATAAGTCATAGATAAAGCATTCCGGTCTGAGGGATTTCAGGGTCTCCCTGCAGCAATAGGGCTCCATGTTTAAGATTTCCTCAAAGACAACATGAACACCAATCTTCTCTCTGTTACTGCGTCCTGACCACCTGTGAACAAACCAGAGTCAAATTATCAACACAATTAAGGGAAAATAGCCATGTACTAGGTCTAGACAGTTGTAACAGATGACCCCAGGCAGCATGGAATACAAATCATATATAAAATTCTTTCATTGCTGAAGTTGGCTATACGTGGAGGAATTTTGGCGTATTTTGCCTTCTTTTCTTTAGATAATAGTAGGAAAAAAATACTAACTTTTGGAAAAGTATTGCCTTATGGCATTTACCCTCTAACAAAAAGTCAAGGCCATGAAAGAGTTGGGTTTTGTTTCGTTTTGTTTTGAGACAGTCTTGCTTGCTCTGTTACCCAGGCCGGAGTGCACTGGCGAAATCTTAGCTTACTGCAACCTCTGCCTCTCAGGTTCAAGCCATTCTCCTGCCTCAGCCTGCCAAGTGGCTGGGACTACAGGTGTGTGCCACCACACCCAGCTAATTTTTGTATTTTTAAGAGATAGGGCTTTACCATGTTGGCCATGCTGGTCTTGAACTTCTGACCTCAAGTGATCCGCCTACCTTTGCCTTCCGAAGTGCTGAGATTACAGTTGCAAGCCACTGTGCCCAGCCCACCAAAGGGTTTTTAATTCCTTATTGTCTTGCCATGGTGTGAAGAGGGTTACCCAGATGGGAGACACAGTCTGGATCCTTCTCGGCCAGGTATGGAGGAAAACAAAACAGCGCACTTCTAATTCCTCACAACACTTCAGAGATTTTCAGAGGAAAAAAATAGGAACTGTGTCCCCTTGCTGTGTGTACATCAGCACAACTGCCCATTAGTGACAGAACTCAAAGAATGCCCTTATCCTGTCATTTTCTCAGTCTGTTGGTCATATTTCCCCTGACTGGATCTCAGCATGACCACCAGTGTGTTTATCAATACGCATAATGAGTTGGTGCTATCAGGGGTAAATACTGTAACGTGGTAGTTCAAGAGATTATAGTCCAGTTTGGGGTAGTATGGTACAGAGACAAGGCAGACAGATTAAAATACAGTAGTAAAGTACTAAAACATGAGCTTCAGACAAGTAACAGCAGGTAGAGAAGGGAGAGAGAGGAACATAATTTTATGATGAAAAAAAATACATGTGAAAATGCTTGGTACAGTGTAAAATGATATGGAACTAAAGGTGAACCATGCAAATTATGTTATCTGCTGGACTGTAAGTCATATTCCAATCTCTGTGTAGTTGTAAAATACATATTTGGTTTTCCTCCCAGTTTCCTGAGATATATCTCCTAAAATTCTTGGAATCCCTGGAGTGATAAGAGTGTCTTTTGTATGCTAATGAGATGACGAGTAGCTGGCAACCCCTATGTAGCTTTAGGATGTGGGCTAGACCTGGGAATGACTAGAGAGGGTTGGTACTTTCAGCTTCCTCCCCAACACTGCCCTCCACCCCCAGAGGGAATGGGGGTGAATGATGTAATCAATCATGCCTGTGTACTGAAGCCTCCATAAAAACCAAAAAGGAGGGGGTTCTGGAGCTTCCAGATAGCTAAACATGTTGAGGTTCCTGGAAGGTGGCACCCCCAGGGAGGATGTGGAACCTACACACCCCTTCCCACAAACCATTCCCTACAGGTCTCTTCCATGTGGCTGTTCATATGTATCCTTGAAACTCTCCTTTGTAATAAATGGGTAAACATAAAGGTTTTCCCGAGTTCCATGGGCCCCTCAAGCAAATTAATCAAACCAGGGGAGTGTCTGGTGGGAATCCCATTAAATTTACAGCCAACAGGTTGGTCGGAACTTCCACAAATCTGGAGATATGACTGGTGTCTGAAGTGGGGATCAGTCCTGTGGGACTGAGCTCTCAATTTGTAGGATTGAATGACACTGTCTGCACTCCAGCTTTTTTAGGTAGACAGTGTCAGAACTGAATTGGAGGACACCCAGCTGGTGTCCACTGCAGAACTGACTGCTTGCTTGGTGGGGAGAAATCTCCTACACATTTTGGTAAGCAGAAGCCACATTCGTATTCTCGGTTGTAGGATTATGGTAGGAGAAACTGAGTTTGTTTTTTCCAGTATCTCTCAGCCAGGTGCAGTGGCTCATGGCTATAATCCCAGCACACTGGGAGGCTGAGGCAGGCAGATTGCCTGAGCTCAGGAGTTTCCAGATTAGCCTGGGCAACATGGCAAAACCCGAAAAAAAAGAAATACAATAACATGATGAAGAACAATAAGATAATACTACACCCAAAATTCATAATGCTTTGCTTCTGAGGGGAGGGGAAAGGAGTAAGACTGACAGGCACACAGGGGACATCTAAGGCATTAGAAATGTTCTGCTGGGTGCAGTGACTTACACCTGTAATCTCAACACTTTTTTATCTTTTTTTTTTTGAGACAGAGTCTCACTCTGTCACTCAGGCTGGAATGCAATGGCATGATCTTGGCTCACTTGCAACCTCTGCCTCCCAGGTTCAAGTGAATCTCCTGCCTCAGCCTCCCAAGCAGCTGGAATTACAGGCACGTGCCACCATGCATGGTTAATTCTTGTATTTTCATTTTTATGTTTGTTTTTTATTTATTTATTTTTGAGATGGAGTCTCATTCTGTTGCCCAGGCTGGAGATCTCTGCTCCCTGCAACCACCAACCCCTGGGTTCAAGCAATTTTCCTGCCTCAGCCTCCCAAATAGCTAGGATTACAAATACGCACCACCATGCTCAGCTACATTTTAGTATTTTTAGTAGAGACGGTGTTTTACCATGTTGGCTAGGCTAGTCTTGAACTCCTGACCTCAGGTGATCCGCCCGCCTTGGCCTCCCAAAGTGCTGGGATTATAGGCATGAGCTACCACACCCAGCCAGCGGTTTGGGAGGCCAAGGTGGGTGGAGTGCTTGAGCGTAGGAGTTTGAGACCAACCTGGGCAACATGGTGAAACCCCGTCTCCGCCCTGGGTAACAAAGCGAGACTCCATCTCTAAATAAATAAATAAGTAAATGTAAGTCATTTACTAGCCAAGCATATGGTACTAAAGTTAATTCATTTGCCAAAAAGAATGATTAAAGTAGTAGGAGCATTCTTTAAGTTTTGAAGCATAAGCACAAGGAATAATCACGTTGCAACTGGTGTTAATACAGACCTGAATCGTTTGAGGTGCAGCCTGAGAACCTGAGGTAGGTGGCATATCATGAGTTGTTTTTGGGCTTCTGTGAGTACAACTGGTTTGGAGGAAAACCTTCTACGCTTTGCTGTAACATCAAAGGATAAAAATCAACTTTAATTCAAAGATGCAGGGAAAAGCTGAGTAAATCTTCATTTTAATTAAGTCAGAAAGGAGAAGTACCTACTGTGTTCCAGGCATTGTATTGTACTAGACATACAGACATAAGCTTTGCCCTTGAGAAACTCATGATCCGCAATTAAACAAAAAACTTAAGAGCTAGTCAGGTTAGCTAGCTCTGTAAACAAGCACATCATTTAATCATCATCTTGCACATAATGTAATAGAAGAAAGTATACTGCTTTATTTATTTATTTAGAGACAGAGTCTTGCTCTGTTGCCCAGGCTGGAGTGCAGTGGCATGATCTTGGCTTACCACAAACTCTGCCTCCCAAATTCAAGCAATTCTCCTGCCTCAGCCTCAGGACTACAGGCATGCACCACCATGCCCGGCTAATTTTTGTAATTTTAGTGGAGACGGGTTTCATTATGTTGGCCAGGCTGGTCTTGAACTCCTGACCTTGCGATCTGCCGCCTTGACCTCAAAGTGGTGGGATTACAGGCGTGAGCCACCACGTCCAGCCATAATATTTTTAAATGGAACTAGCTATACCAATTAATAGGAAAAGTTAAAACATTTCCTAAACGTTTTAATATACATTTCCCAAACTCTTAATTTAAACGTTTGTGGTCAAAAGATTTAAAAAAGAAATAAGAAAAAAAAATGTGTGGTCAGTTCATTTTCTGAGGCTAGTCAGGACCCCAGAGGAAGGTCTTGACTGCCTAGAACACCCTTCCACTTTTCCTGGGGACCACCCCAGCTCTGGCCAATGGCCTAGGAAAGCAGGCCTTCACCAGCTCTGCATCTGAGGCCTCCCTCACTCAAGCATTTTGCTTTTGCTCTTTTTGCACCGGATCTTAGACAGCTGGAACTCAGGATTCTTCTTGTCCCTTCTCTAGAGGTCCACCTATGGACTGTCCTGCAGCTGGACCATAGGCTACAGTTTGTTCCTGATGTCCAGGAGCTATCCTTCAACTTGTACACCAGCTCTGACTCCAGCCATGGCAGCAGCTGCTTCTCATGTGGGAACTAGGCTCAGTCCACCATGAAGCTGAGCTCTAAGCCACCTTCACTGGCCATCAGCAGCCTTTCCTCCAGGTGTCTAACCCTGTAATCCAGGTATCTGGCTGCTGCTGAAGCTCCTGGAATTGCCTCTGTGTCTCCCAGCACATCTGGTCCAATCGTGGCCAGATAGGGGATGTCAACTCCCTGGTGTCTAATTGTAAACCTTTGCCTTGCTGTGTTAAAGCAGCTTTTTTAGGCCTGTATTTGGTAGCCTTAGTAAACACATAGAAATTTGCTATAAAACCATATTCTGCATTCACAACATTACCCCCAAATTTGGTGATGAAAGCATTTAGGACTCTTCACATTTATATCCAAGAAAAAATAATACTTTATCATAAAAGCTTTGACAAAGGTTTATTTAAATAAAACTTATAAATTTTATGAGCTCACATTAGATAGCACTCAGAAAAAACTGTTAAAGTTATTCTAGGAAACCATCAATTTATATAACATTTCTTCAATGTGGGAATATCCTGGTTTTTTTTTTTTTTTTAAATTATCTTAAAAGTTTACTCTCTGAAGCCCTAGAATCTATTTCTGAGATAAGGAAAAAGGGAGAATACACACACATATAAATATATATATATACACACCACACATAGTATAGGATAAACTATAGTGTAGCTTCTATATAGTATACTGTACTACATGTGTATGCTATATATAATATCAATACTAAGATGCTATGTAAGTAGATCTTATTCTTTAATTTCAATAAGTTTTTGGTCAACAGGTGGTGTTTGGTTACCTGCGCAAGTTCTTTAGTGATAATTTCTGAGATTTTGGTGCACCCATCACCCAAGCAGTGTACACTGTAGTCAATGTGTGATGTTTTATCCTTTCTTCCCCTTCTTCTTTTTTGTTTTTTTTTGAGACGGAGTTTTGCTCTTGTTACCCAGGCTAGAGGGCAATGGCGCAATCTCGGCTCACCGCAACCTCCGCCTCCTGGTTTCAGGCAATTCTCCTGCCTCAGCCTCCTGAGTTGCTGGGATTACAGGCATGTGACAACATGCCCAGCTAATTTTTTGTATTTTTAGTAAAGACAGGGTTTCACCATGTTGACCAGGATGGTCCCGATCTGCTGACCTCGTGATCCACCCGCCTCGGCCTCCCAAAGTGCTGGGATTACAGGCTTGAGCCACCGTGCTCGGCCTTCCTTCCCCTTCTACTCTCTCCCCTGAGTCTCTAAAGTCCACTGGATCATCCTTTTTTTTTTTGAGATGGAGTCTTTCTCTTTCACCCAGGCTAGAGTGCAGTGACACAATCTCAGCTCACTGCAACCTCCACCTCATGTGTTCAAGCAATTCTCCTGCCTCAAACCTCTTGAGTAGCTGGGATTACAGGCATGCACCACCACACTCAGATAATTTTTCTATTTTTAGTAGAGACGGGGTTTCTCCATGTTGGCCAGGCTGGTCTTGAACCCCTAACCTTGTGATCTGCCTACCTTGGCCTCCCAAAGTGCTGGGATTACAGGCATGAACCACTGTGCCAGGCCCACACTAGATCATTCTTATGCCTTTGCATCCTCAGAGCTTAACTCCTGCTATGTATACATCAAAAGAGGAGATAAAGACACATCAGATTTTTTTTTTTTTTTTTGGAGACAGAGTCTTGTTCTGTCACTGAAGCCGGAGTACAGTGGAGCCATCTCCGCTCACTGCAACCTCTGCCTCCTGGGTTCAAGCAATTCTGCCTCAGCCTCCCAAGTAGCTGGGATTACAGATGCACTCCACCACACCTGGCTAATTTGTGTATTTTTAGTAGGGATGGGGTTTTGCTATGTTGACCAGGCTGGTCTTGAACTCCTGACCTCAAGCCATCTACCCGCCTTGGCCTCCCAAAGTGTTAGGATTACAGGTGGGAGCCACTGCGCCTAGCCAGCCCTGCAGATCTGATGCGGTTTTACACACTGTTACCTTGGGGGAAGATGCTTCTCTTAAGTGGCTATTTTGCCCCCAGCGTCAGCTTCCTGTGCTGTCTTCTATTAGAGCACTTATCATAGCAGATCCCATCTATCTGCTTCCTCCGCTAGAAATGTGAGCACCTTAAAAGTATCTTACCTCTATCTGTAGACACTGGGAATAACTAACACAGAAGAGACAGCGTGTGGTTTTGGATAAATCTTTGCTTTGATGAAGCCAATCTCTACAACAGCAGTCTAGCATATATTATTTCCTATTTTATGTATATAGACACACACATTTATATACATATCATTTTGATATATAGCAAAAAAAAGCTCATAGAGTGTTTCCTTCACCCTACATGACATGCTTTCATTATTCCTCTTTGCTACTTTATTTTGCTCTGCATATCACATTTAAACTTCTTATGATCTTCTCCCTCCAAAATTGTCTACAGGATCAGAAACAATTTGAATTCCAACAATACGGCAAAACAAACGCATAGTTCATAAATGCCAATTATAAAGTGAAAATCTGTTTATTTCAATGAAATAAAGTTCATTTTCATAACTGCTGAAGAATTTCAGCTTCCTCTCATCTGCATTTCTCTTTATTATTCCTTGGAGAGCACAGAGAACACACCATCTTTACTCACAGTTACACTGGTCACATACGTAGATTTTTCCTTCTAAAGCTTCAGTTTCTGTAAATTTGGCCAACATTTCAGTAACCAGACATGGCTGGGAAGCAGTATCTTTTCCACTGCATTGATATCGTTCTGGAAACTCCAATGACAAGTCCCAGAAAGGTTCTATGGTATTTGATTTGTTGTCACATGCAAGACATGTAACCTGCAAATAAGAATATTCATTCCTAAGATTATAATCTTTCCATCAAAACATTAACTCTTTTCACTAGAGGTCACTGCCAGTAAATAAGCTTTTCTCATGAAAATGCACCATTAGAATTCTGAATAATCTGCTTTACATTCTTGTCAGGAAATCTTTCATTATAATTTTTCCTTCCAAAAGACTGTCATTAGTCCCATCATGAATTAGGTGCTTTAACTACTGGACATTCAAAAAGCTCTAAGGGCATTACATTTAGGTAAAAATCCAAATTGTAGACATACTGAATAGAAACGTATTATGTATATGTATATATAGATATATACATATGATGTTTATTCACATGCATTAAATTTAATGTATTTATGTCATTAGTCTTGAGGTTCCTCACTGTTTCTCCATCTTTTTTTTCTGAGGTAGAGTCTTGCTCCGTCCCCTGTATTAGGGTGCAATGGCACAATCTCGGGTCACTGCAACCTCTGTCTCCTAGGTTCAAGTGATTCTCCTGCCTCAGCCACCTGAGTAGCTGGACTGCAGGTACCAGCTACCATACCCAGCTAATTTTTCTACTTTTAGTAAAGACAAGGTTTTGCCATGTTGGCCAGGATGGTCTCAAATTCCTGACTTTAGGTGATCCGCCCACCTCAGCCTCCCAAAGTGCTAGGGTTACAGGTATGAGCCACTATACCCGGCCTCTCCTTCATCTTTTGATGATTTTATCCCCCCTAATTCCAAATGCTATAACCTCTTAGTCCAATCCAATCTTAACCATATTAGAAGTAAAATACTATCTTTTCTTTTCCTTTTATTTATTTATTTTTTGAGACGGAGCTTCAGTCTGTCACCCAGGCTGGAGTGCAATGGCGTGATCTTGGCTCACTTCGACCTCTGGCCCCTTAGGTTCAAGCAATTCTCCTGCCTCAGCCTCCCCAGTAGATAGGATTATAGATGCCTGCCACCACACTTGGCTAATTTTTTTGTATTTTTAGTACAGACAGGGTTTCACCATGTTGGCCAGGCTGGTCTTGAATTCCTGACTTCAGGTGACCCATCCGCCTTGGCTTCCCAAAGTGCAGGGATTACAGGTGTGAGCCACTATGCTCGGCAATACTGTCTTTTCATTACGCAGTTAGGCCCTGACAACTGATTATTTCAAAAGACATGATATATGACATAAATGATGTTATACTCTTAAACATCCCATTAAAATCCCCTTCCTAACACAGAAAATGAAAAACATGGAGCTGTTTTAACAACTTACATAGGCAATGTAGCAACTGGAAAGGACCTGAATAGTAACTTCAGTGAGACATTCAGCAGAATTGAATGCCAACAGACACTGCACATAATTGAAGACAGACTCCATGAACTAGCAAGTCACACATGATATGAAATATTATAAAGAACCTCTTTCATACAAGCTATAGTCCCGGCATAGGCAATGAAATAAAGAAGCCAGATCTAATACAGATTTTAGATTTAACAAATTGACACAAAGAATACTCCTGGCGTTTATAATCTAGGGACTCAGTAGTGCCAGGGCCTGACATTGTGAGAATTTTCTTGAATTAAAAAAAAAAAAGACAAAAGAAAAAACACACAAAAAGCCATTCCAGGCTGGGTGTAGTGGCTCATGCCTGTTATCTCAAATCTCAGCCCTTTGAGAGGCCAAAGCGGAGGACTGCTTGAGCCAGGAGTTCGAGACCAGCCTGGGCAACACAGTGAGACCTCATCTCCATAAAAAAATAAAAGGAAAACACATTCCAGCAACCAACTGTCTTAAATCTCCTGAGAACCCGTTCCCTAAGAGTGTATTAAAGAAAAGCAAAAAAAATGGTATAATAATTTGTATTAATTTCAAAATTTATTTATAAAAGGGAAAAAAAGCACATAGCCACTCTCATATTACTGGAAATATATTTAAAAAAGAAAAACACTTTCTGGAAAGAACTTTGTCACCAAGTAACAGATGTCTTACTCTGACAAAGTCAGTGTCCAGGACTCTGTCATAAGGAAATTGGAAAAATTAATTGACATCATAAAAATGGAAAAAATTAAAAACAGTCAACAATAGAGGAAGGTTAACTAAGTTATGGTATAAACATGATGTTAAACAACAGAAATATACAAAAAGAAAAAAGTGATGAACATTGAAATGTTTTGAAAAGAATGATGAAATATTTTTAATGACTGGAAAATCATCACAACATTAAACGGGAAAAGCAGGTAAGTGCAAAACGAGCAATTATGGGAAAATATGTATCTATGTGCAGGAGAAAAGAGACTAGAAAAAAATATACCAAAATATTAACAGTTTTACCCATGGATTGTGGGGTTACAGGATTAGAGAATGATTTTTCACTTTTTCTACATAGATTTCTTATATAGGTTTCCTGCAGCTATATATTGCACTCTATAATAGCGTATTTAAAAACTTTTGCATGAAAAGGAAATGACGGAGAAAGATAGAGAAGTAAAATTGCATATAACACAAGTACAACTCTTACTTGCTCACTGACACAGAGTAAAGTCTGCATTTTGAAACACTGAAAAATAAACTTCATAGATATTCCTTAAGGAGAAATGCATCTGAAATACTTAAACAACAATCTAGGAAAGTATGCTATAAAAACAAAAGATGACCTTATCACAGTGAAAGTTGAACTGAAGCCGGGTGTGGTGGCATGGTGGCTCACAAGGTCAGGAGTTCAAGACCAGCCTGAACAAGATGGTGAAACCCCATCTCTACTAAAAATTCAAAAATAAGCTGGGCGAGGTGGCGGGTGTCTATAATTTCAGTTCCTTGAGAGGCTGAGGCAGGAGAATTGCTTGACCTGGAATGCGGAGGTAGCAGTGAGCCAAGATCGCACCACTGCACCTCCAGCTTGAGAGACAGAGCAAGACTCTGCCTCAAAAAAAAAAAAAAAAAAAAAGTTGAACTGAAAAACAGAGGTAGGTGTGCAGGGGGAAGGAAATGACCTATAAAAATTTTGTTTAAATCTGTGTTATAAGAAAGTTGAGAGCCTTATGTCTATTCATAGTTCATCAATAAGTCCACTGAGTATACAGAACTTTTACATAGACGATTGTGGTTTTGTAGTCTACCTTTTCATGACAAAGGAAACTTTTGAGCAGTAATTAAAATAAAGGAAAATCATTTAAGATTATTCTAGATGAAATTACAATTGTTTACTTTAAAATTTCCCTACTTACTTGTTAAAGCTCTCAGACCATGACGCTTTGGCTTTATAGGAAGTCCTCCAGGGCTACTCCTTGGTACCTGAAATCGGTCAAGTGTGCACCATTTTCTTTCTTTCTTTTTTTTTTTTTGAGAAGGAGTCTTGCTTTGTCATCCAGGCTGGAGTGTGGTGGCGTGATCTCGGCTCACTGCAAACCTCCACCTCCTGGGTTCAAGCAATTCTCCTGACTTAGCCTCCCAAGTAGCTGAGATTATAGGCGTCTGCCACCACACTCAGCTAATTTTTGTATTTTTAGTAGAGATGGGGTTTCACCATGTTGGTCAGGCAGGTATGGAACTCCTGACCACAGGTGATCCACCCACCTTTGCCTCCCAAAGTGCTGGGATTACAGGCATGAGCCACTGTGCCCAGTCATGTGCACTATTTTCATCCCCAGTATAGCAGTATCTTCAAATCTGTTCCTTCTGGGATTAAATCCTCCTCTTCTCAATCCCTCAGACAATGAATGTAATATTACTAACCTAGAGTGCTCCATTTCCTCATTTCTCCCTCCCTCCAAAAGCTTTTGATACCATGGATATAAAATTACTTCCAATGATTCATAAAAGAAGGAATTGTAAATGTGTGAGCAGATTTCTTTACACATATTTATAAAAACAATCTATTTTGACCTGAAAATGGTACCAGCTCAACATACTAGATGTACATAGAATATGTCCTATTATGGGCTTCACTCTATAAACTCCCCATGATAAAAATAAGATTTAAAAAAATCCATACCTGACTAAGAAGTTGTCCATGAAAAATGTTATTTACAACATTCAGAACTTGTTTGATAAGTTTCCTTTGAGAAGTGGGGATAAGAGCCGGTAAACTGGTACCAGTTGTCTCTAATTCATGTTGTATTTTATCTAAAAGTTCACAAAGAAATTCTTGAGCATCTTGTTGGGCATAACCCCGAAAGGCAGGAATGAGTCTCCACACCGAGTGTAGCATAGCAAATGGTGAGACCAAGGCCCACTTTCCAGACCACATGACTTGGAACAAAGTATGCAATTCATGACAAAGAGAAATGTACTGTGAAGTTGGCTCCCTTGGCTGAATAAGTTCCATCTTTCTACCTTTTGATGCTCCACCACTGAGTCCTGATGACAAACTTGAATGTCTAGAGCGAACAAAACCTGCATCTTTTTCTTGACATTCATCCATTTGATATACTACTGTATCAGTGACTGGTGGATGCTTATAAGATCTTGTCTTCTCACTAGTAGTCACAGCCAGCCATTGATTCAGATCAAGCTTTAAAAAACATTGCCGAAAAATAAGTAAATGACTCAACACCTGAAGAACAGAATTCATATAGCAAGTGTTTCCCAAATTTCTCAATCCTGTTACACCAGGAGTCACTATTGGCCTTCGTTTAACTGAGGAGTCACTGGCTTTTTCAGATCTTTCATCTTCTGAGGTAGAGACTACTTTCTCTTTTGCTGGTGATGCTGGATTCTGTGCTGGCCCCTCAAGAGGAACTATTTCTATTACGGTTGACTGAGCAAGCCCTTGTAAACGTACACTCTTTCTTGGAGGCATACTTTCAAATTCTGCTTTAACCTGATACTCTAATTCTTGCTGTCTTTTCTTTACTTCTCTTTTTACTACTATTTTTTCCTGAAATTGTTCTTCTTGCCTTTTTCTTCCAATGGGTGATTGTTCAAGCCATGTTCGAAAGATTTTACCCATTAGGATCCTTCTCCTGTGCCAAAGAGCAGCATACATTTGATCTTCATTTTGAAGCAGAGATTGGGCATCATCGTGTAGGAAATAAGAATCATCACCTGTACCCATGGACCGTAAAACCCGTCCACTGTGAGTTGTGCAGTGATAATTTTGACTTTTGATTGCACTTAATGTACTTCGCAATAACTTCAGGTCTCCAGTTGCATTATCATTAAGAACATAATCATCACAAAGGTAACAAAAAACATACATCTCATTCACCTCCAGTGCAACAGGATGACTGCTTTCCTGAAAGTGCTTGAGTGCATGCTCTTCAATGTATCTTCCGCAGGCAACATGGGAGCAGCTAAGGCAAGCCCAAATGGACTCGGTCGTGTTGCAGTCCATGCAGTGCCATTTCTGAGGGTCGAGGATGGAGTGGTCTTGAGCAAGCTGCAACTGCCCAACATGTTTGCACGTATCCATTGTTAGCATTTATTTAGCCTAGCTGAGAAACGCATAATCCGAACAAGTCTGTGTTCACCACATTTGAAGCATCTGAAAACTAAACAGAACAATGTCAAGTGTTAATAAAAACAAGATGCAAATATTTTTCATGAGGTGTTTTCCCAAGTATAATAAAGATTTATATCCTCTGTTCCTGATTTCTAGGTTGCTTATCATAACACCATTGGCAGTTCTTACTTTTCCCTTGCTCTAGATGTCCCTAATCTCACATCCACCTTGCTCTGAAAGCACAGACATTTCACTTTCTCTCTTTTAATTTTTAATTTGATTCAATTTTATTTTATTTGAGATGGAGTCTCGCTCTATTGCCCAGACTAGAGTGCAATGCACGATCTCGGCTCATTGCAACCTCCGCCTCCCAGGTTCAAGTGATTCTCCTGCCTCAGCCTCCTGAGTAGCTGAGATTATAGGTGCCCATTACCATGCTCAGCTACTTTTTCTGTATTTTTAGTAGAGATGGGGTTTCACCATGTTGGTCAGGCTGGTCTCGAACTCCTGACCTTGTGATCCGCCAGCCTTGGCTTCCCAAAGTGCTGGGATTACAGGCGTGAACCACTGCCCCAGGCTGACATTTCACTTTCTCTGAGTCTCCTTTAACAACTTTTGTTTTTAATTTTCTGCCACCATCTAGTGGTGAAAAATGGGTAGTAATCACTTTCCACTGGAATAGCTTAAGATCTATCCTTTTTACCCAGTAGTCTGAGGGCAATTTCCAAAACGACTTTTTTTTTTTTTTTTTTTTTGAGACAAATTCTTGCTCTGTCACCCAGGCTGGAGTGCAGTGGCACCATCTCAGCTTACTGCAACCTCTGCCTCCCAGGCTCAAATGATTGTTGTGCCTCAGCTTCCCAAGTAGCTGGGATTACAGGCGTGTGCCACCATACTTGGCTAATTTGTTTTTGTATTTTTAATAGAGACAGGGTTTTGTCATGTTGCCCAGGCTGGTCTCAAACTCCTCGGCTTGGGTCATCCACCTGCCTCAGCCTCCCAAAGCACTGGGATTACAGTCATGAACCACTGCGTCCAACCCTTTTTCTTAAAGACTGGGGTTGTCAAGACCCAAATATATCTCACTAATATTTATAAACATTCTGAACCCCATGCAGAGTTAATAAAGCATAATCAAAGATGAAACAGTGAGTCTTAAGGCAGAAAAATGTAGATTTGAATTCTACCTTTGCCACACACTGTTAAATGTATGGTTTTGAGCAAAGGTTTTAACTTCTCTAAACCATGTGTAAAAGAGAGAAAATCATACCAATTTCAATTGAACTGCTGAAGAATTGAGAGACAATATTTATCTGACACATGGTAAATGTTCAATAAATGGTAGTTTTAACTGTAGCTATGGTGAATAAATCTTAATACCCTATTCAAATAAATCATATTAGATGTTCTATTTAATTACCATTAAACTTGGTTTTTTCCATTTAGTCAATCAATAATTACCTTTAATTCATGGCTCTATACCATACTCTGAGACTGGACATGATAGTTGGCTTTAGGGAAAGAGAAAGACAGAAATGGAGAATGTGCTTTTGTATTTGAATATTCTCAGGAACATACAAAAGGAAATAAAGAGGAAAAAAAGGAAGAATACGAAGTGGGTAGCAGTAACCTTTTATCACATTCTGGCAGGCCTAAACCTATCTGAAATTATAAGCTTATTTTAAAAAAAGCTCATATGATTTTTTGACCCAGAAATTGTTCCTTTATCAAAGTCAGGAACACTTCTGCTGTAAGTTATTTACATTTAATGAACAGAAACCTTATTTAAAAGTAGTGATTACAAAACACTTTTTTTTTTTCATTGATTTAATACAAATTGAAGACAAATTTCAGGGTTTGAGTGGAGACCTAGTTACAAAACACTAAAAACATTCTATGTATCCTGACCAAGGCGTTAAATTGTTAGGGCAGTTGAAACTAAATTTCAATGGTACCTGCAAGTACCACCTCTAGGGCCTTAAGGAAACTGCAAAAGCAGTTGATTTTTGGTTCCTTCCTACCTCTTTTTGTAAAATCTAGTCATCGTTTCTTAATTTTCAGGTATCCCAACTCTCATATCTCCCTCCCCCACCTCCCCTCCCACCCCACCTCTCTTTCTTTCTGACAGGATCTTGCTCTTTCACCTAGGCTGGACTGCAGTGGTGTAATCTCAGGTGACTGCAACCTCTACCTCCAAGGTTCAAGCGATTCTCCCATCTCAGCATCCTGGGTATCTGAGACCACAGGCAATGTGCCACCACACCCAGCTAATTTTTATATTTTTAGTAGAGACGGAGTTTCACCATGTTGCCCAGGCTGGTCTTGAACTCCTGGCCTCAAGCAATCCACCCACCTAAGCCTTCCAAAGTGCTAGGATTACAGGTATTAACCACCATGCCCAGCTGCCATCTTTACATGTTTCAAGTGCACATTTTAAATTTACTTCTCTCTCTCTCAAAATTTCCAGAGATTTAAAATTTGGTTGAATATGGTATTTTATTAGAACACCTGGGATTTGATAATAGTTGCTAATGGCAAAATTGAGATATCAGTGATTAATATATTCAATTATCCCATATCTTTCTATACTGAGGCAAGAAACCTTGGAATAATCCTTGACTCTCTCTAAATCAATCCTTCAAGAAAAATGGTTGGCTCCATCTTCAGAATAGATTGAGAATCTGACTACTTAGTACCTCTACTGCCACCAATCTGATCCAATCTACAATCAAGTCAAGCCTTACTGCAGTAAGGCCCCAGATGGTCTCTCTGCTTCTGTCCTGACTGCCACCAAGTCTACTCTCAACACACAGTAGCACATTAGCACACAGAGACATTGTGGTCTGCATCTAGACCTAGACAACCAGTTACTTTAGGGAGCCCTTGCTGTGGCCCTCCTCCATTAACACGTAGTCAGCAAGGCCAAGGGCATGTGGCCACTTGAGGTCTGCATACATCAGCAACTCCCCTTCTAGAACTACTCGCTGGTACCTGGTACCGGGGACTCAGAGAATGACTTTCCCCAATCATCCCCAAGCTTGCTTCTAGGGCCTATGAGCAACATAGAGCTACTGAAGAAATCTGTAGAGGAGAATGATATGATCAGATCTGTGGGTTACAGAGGGATCTGAATTACGAAGAGCTCTGGAGAAGGGACAAGTGATTAAGATAGGACTATGTGTCCAGAAATTTTAAGGCAATTAAAGCTGTAGCAGTTTTGAAGAAGTGGGCAGAGTAGAATTAGTGCTTAACAAACACTGGCTGAGAGAACTGATTCAAATTGGAGGCTAAGGGAAGAATCTAGGGCTCTGTATTACCTTTTATTCAGTTATACATGTTACTGGCAAATTATAGAAAACAGTTATTAGTTCAGCATCCTTAGGCCAGGTGCAGTGGCTCACGCCTGTAATCCCAGCACTTTGGGAGGCTGAGGTGGGCAGATCATGAGGTCAAGAGATTGACCATCCTGGCCAACATGGTGAAACCCTGTCTTTACTAAAAATACAAAACTTAGCTGGGCATGGTGGCACTCGCCTGTAGTCCCAGCTACTTGGGAAGCTGAGGCAGGAGAATCTCTTGAACCTGGGAGGTGGAGGCTGCAGTGAGCCAAGATCATGCCACTGCCCTCCGGCCGGGCAACAGAGCAAGACTCTGTCTCAAAACAAAGAAACAAACAAACAAACAAGAATATCCTTACAGAGAATGCCAGCATTTACTCTCAAAAAAGATCATTTCGTTCCAAAATTTTAAACAGGTACAATGAGTTAACACCTTACACAACATTCAGAAAAGGCTCCATAGAAAAAACCCTGGTGAGTATACATTTATTCTGAGGTTATCTCTGGGTAATGGGACTGCAAATTACTGTGCTTTCTTTATTCATCCATACTTTCAAAACTATAAAAATAACAAAATAAATTTTAAATAAAAACAGCTCAGATAGTGTTATGTATGTGTTAAGTTATACACTAGCCTCTTTACTCCTTTCTCTACTCTGCAAATGCATTTCCTTGAATATAAAAAAAGTGCCCATTTCATTGAAGCTGTTGCTAAAAAAAATCTATTTAGTTGAGAGCAAAGTACTTGGCCTTCAACAGGAAGTGGCATCTATAATTGAACACATGATTCTACTTGACACAAAACTGTGAAAAGGGTGAAATCTTGATTAGACGTCATCTATCTGAGAGACATTATGGTAGGAGAGGTATTACAGTAGAATGGTTAGAGAGCACCCCTGGAATCTAAATCCCTGAGTTTAACACTTGACAGGATTTGCTATGTGACCATAATTATGTGCTACATATCTCAGTTTTCTTATCTGTAAAGTAACAGTGGTGATAATACCAATAGGGTTGTTGAGGGAATTAGTTAGAACAATTCCTGCACTTAATAATATGGCCCTCAGTACATCTTAGCTGCCAATTGTAATAAAATAATAATAAATTATTACTATAAATGCTAGTTTCCTTCTAGTTGATCACTGTTAGCCAGGGGTTCCATCTTCTCAGACAAATGTGTACTAAGCCCAACTAAGGTGCTAATAGATAATCAAGATGTTAGCTAAGGACTAAGGTCTGACCTCTCCCAGGGGTATTTGCATTTTAAAAGGGGGTCTCTTAAAGATAAAATCTTTTTTAAAAATTGAAATAAGTGAAACCAGAATAGTGGAATGGCAGATCATGAGATTAATATTTTAGGGCAGGGGGCCCATTTACCCTATCTATGAAAGAAACCAGTAGCGGGTGAATAACAGAGGCAGGGGCAGAGTGGAAATCAGAAGCTGAGAGCCAGCCGCCGTCACCAGAGATCTCCAGTTTGTGCTCCAGCCTGGAGCTGAAGCACAGACAGTCACTAGGGTATCCCCAAAGGGGCCTCATCACACAAAGATCTAAGAGCTTGGAGAGAAGGAAGGAGGATGGGAGTATTTCCTTGACACTTCCTTTTTCCTCCACTGGGTTCAGAGCACCTCTTTTCATTTGCTAACCTACTGCTGTGAAGCTATGCATTAACTCTATCACCAGCAGACTGCACATATGAATTCAGGCAGTG